TTTGAAAAAAATCTTATGTATTTTATTTAATGCAAGTCAATAGCCTTTTGCCATTTTTGTGCTTTGTGATCCTTGGATCATGTTTGTATTTATTTGTACCAATGTTCTAGTATATGTATCAAATATTAGCTTGAATAATACATAAGAAGTTTGACAACATTCTTTCTCTATTTAAATAAAATTGAGAGGCTTGCCCACTACCTTCAAAAAAGTATTTGAAAGGCAACTCTAAAAGCTACATTTTAAGCAGACAAACCTTAAAATTGCCTAACAGGAAGAACAAGAATTTTGTAGGCTAGTATCTCTTTAATTGACAAAAAAATTTGTTGCTGTACTTCTAACTATAAAAAATATTAGACCTTGATATTTGGCAATTCTATTAATGGTTATGCATAACCTTATTCTCTAGACAAAATTGTCAATAAAAAAGGCATGTTCAAATGTAAGAGTAAAGTTCACTACATTAATAATGTAGCAACCTTTCAATATCAAAAGCGATTCTCATAGGTATCGATTGTTTCAGTGCTCATTTTCTTTTCAAGAATAGACGAAGGTCTTCCTACAAGAAGAAAAAAAGATTTGAAACTAGTTTGTACTTTATTTAAAAATAAACATGAGAGAAGCAATAAAGAAAACATCAAGGCACCACAAAGCACAAACATCAAGGACTACAAACCACATAACTTATAATTTATTTGATACAGCAAAAGGATAGGTTTTTTTGTTTTTTTTTTTTTTTTTTTTTTGTGTCAAACCAAGAGATTGAGATGGAAGAAACTAGGGAATGCTAAGAATTTGTGAAAAATTACACCAGTGTTTTTTCATTAAACATAAACAATAATCAACAACAAACAACCTAATTATAAAATAAACAGCAACATAATTCATTGTCATCTCATCAACATAAAGATATCATCACTAAATCATTCAATTTGATTAGTAGCTAAAAGTGGGTCCACCTTCAAACATCTCATAACTTTCTCCAACTTTCAAGTGAGCATTCAGATCATTATCACCACTCCACCAATAAATATTAATTCATTTAAAAGAAAACATTGCAATAGCCCAGCACTGAATAAACTCAAAACTATGGTCTTGAAATGAATATATTATTTATGTTCTCATAAACAAAAGCCAAATATATCATTTACTTGTATAACCTTCTAAATTAAAATTTAAAAATTAAGTTAACAAGATCATGATTTTAATTAACTGCTTTCTTTCTTGTAGATGCAAACTCAGAAACTCTAAAAAGATGGTTATATAAAATTTTACAATATACACTAAACTGTTACTCAAATCTCAAATTCTCAATAAATAATACAAGTAGAACAATAACGAATCTTAATTTCATTGGAAGAATGCAACAACAAAACATCAATAATAGAGAAAATTAGGGATTTAGGGTTAGGGACATTACCTTTTGATAAATTGATGAAAAATAGTGTCGATTGAGACTTGGAAGGAGAGTTAGGTGAGAGAGACTTAAGAGTTTAGAGCACCATGAGAGAAAGCGGCAAAAAGGTTCTAGGTTCGTTCGGCGTTCAAGTTTCTATTTTGCGTTGCCATTCTGGGAAGAGTCCCAAACTAAAAGACAAAATCCAAAATTTCTATAGGGGCTATATATATATTAGCCTCGCAGAAAGCTATTCTAGAGAATAAAATCTATTTCTAAGTAATCCATTATTAAGACTTCCCTTAGAGTAAATTTTTTCTTGTTTAACAGTACAACCACGTTCTCAACCACATCCGTGATCATACTTTGACCTCCATCTGCAACCATTCCAAAATAAAAAACAAAATCCAAAAGTTCTATAGGGGCCAAATATATATATAATCTGAAAATTTTTAAAGTTTGAGTGGGGTCATGGTCCCCACTCGTCATTCCTTAAATCTGTCCTTACCTAGCCCGGTCGGTTGGACCAAGACCTAGCTGGTGAGTCGGGTCGAGAGAGCCTAAAAAACTTTGGGGGGGTGGTTCACCTAGATTCACCTGCGATTGGATCAGCGATACTGTAGCAACCCATTAGTCCAATCGGTTTTTGGAAAAAAAAAAAAAAAAAAAAACCAAGTGAATAAAACACCAAAAAATAGCAACTTTCGGTCGGTGTTCGACAGGCAAACATGAGGAAATTTTAAAGGTGGATTACGGTGAGTCTAAAGGTAGTGTCTGATTAAGTTTTAGTCACCAAAATTTGGCCAAAACCAGGTGAATCAAACACCAGAAATGGCGACTTTCAATCAGCATTTGGCGGGCAAACATGAGGGAATTTGATATGTGTACAAGCAACTCCTGTTATGCCACCTAATTTTCCCACTTACTCTACGTAGTTGTTAACAGAATTTTAAGGGTGGATCACGGTGAGTCTGGAGGTAGTGTTTGATTAAGTTTTAGTCACTGGAATTTGGCCAAGAAACGGTGACCAGCGATTAGTGGGTGGAATGGCTTGGGAACTTTGGGGGTTTTGTAAGGGAGTAGTCGGTAAGTCTAAGTGTGGTGGTGGTTGGAGCTGTCGTCGCTCAAAACAACTGGAATATGACAAAGGACAATCGAAAAAACACATTTTTCGTCATTGACAATCGGCAAGTGATGAGAACTATTTTAAAACTCGGCCTAATCCAGCCGGTTTAACCGAGACCTGGGAGCTTCACCGGGCCAGGTTAACAATTTATCTATTCACCCAAAACCCTAGATGATCGGTGAACAATTGAAAGTTGGGATGTTGGGGCTTTTGAAGAAAAAGTGTCGGTGAGTGGAATGGTGGCGACGGAGTTGATTTCTGATGAGTAAATCGACTAGAAATCGAAAAAAACAAGCGATGACAATTTCCGGCTTTTGCCAGCGATTGGCAAGGCTAACGGGGGTGGGGTGAGGTGGGTTTTGGTCGAGAAGAAGAGGGGAGTATTTTTCAGGTGATAGGGAGGATTATCGACGCCGACATCAGTGAGTATGGACTCAAGGGATGATTGGGATTGTTTTTGGGGTGTTGCTGTCGCTAGCCAGTCTCCGGCCAATTTGTATTTGGGGTGTGTTTGCTAAATTTTAAACCTGTAAGGACTTAAGTAATTTTTAGGGGTGTATTTGTTGAATTTTAAAAGTTTTGTCACCCAGTTTGACCAGCCGGTCAAACCAATTAAACCCGTCAACATAGGACCCAACAACTTTGTTAGGTTTCACCTTGGGTTGGTTATTAAAATATTGGTGACGAAAAGGGATAAAGGGTATGGTTTGGAGAGGTCAAGAGGGTGGGGGTTTCAGTGGTGGTGACAAGGGTGATTTTGGGTGAGAAAATAGCCGAAAAAAGGGGAAAGAAAGTCGACATTGATGCGTGCTAACGTACGCCAAAAACAGCCATCGTGCTAACGTCCATCGAATTAAAAAATTTTAAAATTTTTTTGCGTGACACGTCACCAGTACCCACTGGTCAACCTGGGACTTGACTTCTTTGCCAAGTTTAGCCCCGAGTTGGTTTTTAAAAACATTGCAATAAAGTATGAGGTTAAAAAGTAACTGCAACGAATGAGAATTTTCCATGATTTTTTGAACAAAAATGAACTTTTTTTATTGATGTATTTTATTAAATATGTAAGGTTTTCAAACTAAATTGAACAAATTATTAATTTCTATAATTGTTGAAAACTGATCTGGAAATGCTAATCCAACTCCTTTGGGTGCGTTTGGTTCATATAATATTTTATTATGAGAACGTTATATTAATGAAAATATAGATCACTTTGAAAATTACTATGAATGTTTAAAGAAATGTGTTTTGTTATTTAGAATAAATTGGTAGGTATATTATATTGATATGTTTGATTGAGAGGTAAATGGGTGTATATGTTATATAGATTACTAAATTACCCTCCTTTTAAAATATTAATATAATATTATTTTTTAAACCCCTATATTTGAAATTTTACTAAAACACCCCAGCCATATAAAACTTTAATTTTTAGCAAAATCACCCCCCCACCCCAAGCCACTACCGGTAGCCAACCACCACCGTCGATGCCATCAGAAGTCGCCATAATAACGCACGACCAACGAGATATGACCGATCGTACACTGGTAAGGTCGTTTCCGACCATGGATATGTGATCCATGGCTTGAAACGACCAAAAATGTGGTCATGAAACGACCACAACAACGACTTTACCGACACACGACTGACCATATCCCACATGTTATGTGTCATTACGACGACTTCCGACAGCATCGACGATGGTCTTGGGTGGCTGGGGATATTTTGTTAACTTTTACATTTTTTTTGTGCCTAGGGTGTCTTAGCTAAATTTTCTAATGTATGGGGTTCGAGCTAATAGATATTTGGTTGACATTTGAGAACAATTGTGTGCGAAATGATATTTAATTAAGGACAAAATAAGTATAAAAATCATATTATCTAATAATCTTTTAATAACACCTCCTAGGAGTTTATTTGATTACCTCTTATATTACCAACAGTAAATACTATTTACAATAAAAAATGCCCGTAATATTTTATTTCTTACAAACCAAACAAGAGAATCTTAAAAATTAAACGAAGATTACCCATGTAATCTTATATGAACCCAAACCAAATGGACCCTTTATATGAAATTTTTTAACCACCGGACCCTAATTTTCTAACCATAAAATAGATCAACAGAAACTGTAAGCAAACAAAAATACAACTAATATTCCACACAATCACATTGCAACCAGAAATTATGCAGTAAAATTAGTTCAATCCATATAAAAAAAAAAATACATTCAATAAATTTCCATATACATATCCTTCAACTTTTTGGATTCGTAATTTCACTTTATAGCTCATCACTTTGGCCAACTGGTAATTTTTGAAGTTCAGGTGAAGTTCTGGAAATTCTCCAACTCTCTAGTCTTGACAAAGAAATCAAGTCCCTAACTTGTCTTCCCAATAGACACGGCTGAGCGAGAAAGACAATCAAAAGATAATCAAAATGACACTCTTCATGACGTCTTCCCAGTGCAAAACTGCTCAAATTTTAAAATGATGCTGCTTCTAATGGAAGAGCCGACTCAACTACCGCACCTAATTCATATTATTTTTATTCAATAGGCAGAAAAAAGAAGTGCATAATCACAAATGAAGGAGCCTTACATTTCTGAATTATGCAAAACTTGCGAGGACTGCAATCCAGTGGGCGAACTCTCTTTCCGTTGTGCTACATGATAAGTTACAAGATAATTAGACAATGGAACCCACCAAAAAATCTGTCATGCAGAAGTCAATAACAAAAAAAAAAAAAAAAAAAATGAAATACAAACAAGTGGAGAAGGAAAGGTGGGGTTGGAGGAGGGACAAGGATCTTAACCACCTTTCAATTTCGTTAAAAACTTAGATTCATGTTTCCTATGAAGCTACCCATTATACCATAGATCTTAACTGGCACAAAGTTTCAATTATTTAATAGTGAAACAGATTCTAGTTTAAAGGGTACATTCAAACAATTAGCCATAGATGAATAGAGAGAGAGTAAATTTACCAAGTTGGGAACTTTGGTATTAATCCACAAAAGCGATCGAGGCAAACATTTTTATATATCCAAATCATCATCTGGGTCCTCATCTGAATCTGGCATCTCATCATCTGAATCCCGAAAATATATTATCTGACCCTTGTCAGAGCTCTCATCTGTCTGCAAACTCTGAGTTGAAACAAGTGTCTCCTCATTGAGAGACCTTCGACCATCATAAATTTGTATTGGTTCACCATTTCCTGACGCAAAGAAAAATTGAAAATAAAGTTTCTAGCAGAAGATAGTCAAGAAAGGATAAATGAGAATAATAGAAAATAATACTCTTTCCAATTATTAACATGAAAGATTTGTGTAAAAAGCTTATAATCATTTTCAAGAAATAAAAAATGGAATTTGATATCCATCTATATTTTCCAATACCTTGGTGCTCAAATGGAAGCACAACCTTGGCCCTTTCAGTTCGCTCCTTCTCTGATAGCTCAAGATTGAACTGCACCTGTTAAATAACAACACCAATATCTAGTAAATGTCAAAAAAATAAGAGTATCAAGGTCCTTTCTTGCATATCTATTTGTAACAACATATTCATTTCAGAGTGCATGCGTGTAAATGCATAAAAATGTTCCTTTTTTTCTCTTTTCCTTTCCTGTCTTCTCTTAGACTTATAACCGTTCTCTGGTTAACCAATAAAGTCTTTAAGAAATTTTATCTTTCACAGGCATGCATGACAAAGCAGTGTAGTTTGTGTGCACAGCATGAAAGAGACGGGGGGAGAGAAAGGGAATACCAAATTATCCTCTAAAATCGAGATAAATTTATACAACTGACCTTTGGCAAAAGGCGTTGATTAATTATTTCATCTTCAGACAACGAAACAGACGTAAAGTTGATGCCTGACAGCTCCACAAGTAATTCTTCACACTAGAAACAAATTTGGATAAAATATTATTTCAGTTTCTTCTCCATAAAGCGGCATAAAATCCTCCACAAAGAAGTTAAGACACAAAAATATCACCATAACTCGAACACGCCCGTTCCTTCGCTTGAACCGAACATTAAACTTTCCTTTCCTAAAGTTCTGCTCAAGCAAAGAGAGATTCTCTAAATCACCTCTTTGTGCAATTGTAGATCTTGTAAATGGTTCCAGGCTGGCAACAATTGAGGATAAATATTCAAGAACAGCGGTGACCCTGGCTTCATGAAGATCTGAATGTAACAACCAAAAGATACTAGAAACTTGATCTGAAACCATAGAACAATGGTGAAAAGATAGCATCAGAACAAAAATGTATCACACAAACCACAAACTTCAGAGATTTCTATAAGTCAAGGGCAATTCATTTAATTACAGTTGCACACCAGAAGTGCATACCAGATTACTAAACAGAAGATTAGAGGACCTGCCTATTAGGTTTCATTTTTTTTATGGCTAATCATTTGACTTAAAGATAAATACTACACCAGCACTGCAAAAAAAAAAAAAATTCTTTTTTTGATAAGTTGAAAATCCAATTGATGCAATCAAACATTAACAAATGGCTAGACTAATAGACAGGGATTTTACGAGATTTGATGATGTTCACAATAAATCAAGAGATAACAAAATCAAGTACATACCATGGCTACGAAGGTTGCTTAGAAGGCCTGCAACTGATGTTATAGATGCATGTCTTAACATTTCACTTACCTGGCAAAATTGTTGAAAGTCTATTAAAGATTATTACAAACAACAAAAGGAATATACAAGATAAAAAGTAGAAACCAACATCATATTATAATAAACACACATGAAAGCTTAGACATAACAATATAGAAAAGGGCATGACCTCCAATCAAACTCCAAAATGGTAAATTTACTTCTTAAAGTTTTTTTCAAAATTAAAGGTATCTTTGAACCACCAAGACAAAAACCAATCAACAACCAACTTCCACCACACAATAGTATATGACAGATGATATGAACCTTCCAAATCAATATGAAAACTTTATCGCAAATAAAATTTGCAGTATCGCCAAAATTCCACATCCGAGATAGTGTGATCTTGTATGTAATCATTTTAAATATGACTTTTCACTAAAAATATTTGCAACTTCACCAGATATTTTAAATGGAGAATATTTAAAAAGAACGAAAAAGAAATGCATACTCAAATATAAGCTCCCTGACATGACCATTAATTTTAAAGAAGAAAACAAGTTGCAATTCCAACTTGAAGATAAAAGAATATTACTAGAAAAAGTGATTAGGTTTAAAAAATCATTGAGATAATGTAATCTCATATTGTCTTTAATGATAATGTAAATGCTTATTGGAATTTTAAACAATAATAAATAAACCAACAGTTTTTTCTCTCCCTTAAATCCAAAAATCCCTTGACCTCTCATACTTGATTACTAGGTTCTAAACTGAGGATACTTCCAATCCCTGCAACCTTGGTAACCAGGAAACTTATAGGATGTAATATCCCAAGTAATTGACCACAAGGGAATTTGAATCCTGGACCTCTTAGTTGACAGACATGGGCTTATTGTCATATTAACTATCAAAATCATGAGGGACGTTTAATTGATTATTTGCCTATTTACTAACTTATGAAAAATGAGTTATCCCTATCTTAGATACTATATGAATGTGCCTTCTAACTAGTGAACTTTTCAGCTGTTTTACCAACAAAACATTGCATTCTAAAATGGTATCAACCTTCATTGCCAAGTCCTACAATTCTTTTTCACTGTGTTAAAACCATGAACCATGTGACATATATTTTTATCTAAAAGTCATGAAAATGACAGTGACAAGTATAAATCAAGAGGTTTTCATGGGTTCCAAAAGTCATGTGACCATGCCAAGCTTGTCTAGAAAGTGACAATAAAAAGCACTATATTAGTACATCTTTCAAACAACTTCTGAATTAAATAAAACATGACATATTTCTTTTCACTGATCCAGGAAAACACCATCAAAGCAAAATCTCATCCACAAATGTCAATCAATGGTTGCACCCAAAAAGTAAGGCCTATCTTACACATACTCTCATAATATCTTTACTTCTAGATAATATATTAATTTTTAACTAAGAAACTGCATATGCTACCCTCATAGTTTCTACCTTTGGTTTGGCTGGGTGTATCCCTCAAGGTTTATTGCACTTGATTAGGAAGTTTCCTTGAAACACCTCAAGAAAGGGATATGACACACAGAATTCACATTAAAATCCAAACCCTTATTCTTGGTACATGTTTGCTACTCAATAGGAAGCTTCAGCATATCACAACATAATATTCCTCGAAGTAGAATTTAATTTAAGATTCAAATTTCTAAATTGTATTGCCATGCAAATGACATAGAAAGCAACTAAATGTCCAAAGTATAAACAAATCAGAACACACAAGAAAGCTCACTTGAATTAAAAGAAACTTTTCAGGAATGATATTACATCTAATTAACCATCTAAACAATATTTACAAATAAGGGATACAGAATTACCAAGTCAATGGCAACAAAGAAACGACCTTTCCCTTGTCCAACCAATCCTGCAAACACGAACAAAAACTTTCAAAACGAAAGCCCTAGAACCCAATTTTTTATCTTCATCAACATGATTTCAGTTATCTAAACTGAGCTTCACACTTGAAAAAAAAAAAAAAAAAAAAAACCCTTTCAATGGTCGTAGTCACAACTGGTAAAACCAATTCAAGTTTCACAAGCTTATACACCAATGGATACAAAATGTTTTTTTTTTTTTTAAACCGAACTAAATTCTCAATCAAATCACAAATTCCTTGTAACTCAACAAATTCATCACAAGAATTCATGTCAATAACATAAGTCTCATCCTGATTCTCAAGTACCATCAATTCAAGTGCAAAAAAATCAGATGGACAAAACTGGGCAAAATGGATCAACTTATGCTTGTCAAAAGTAGAGAATGAATTACTTGGATCTAAACATGTCATACAAAGAAGCAGCTTAGTACTAACCTCAGTGAAACAGGTGTTAAGTTCTTGAAGTTGCATATCTATCACAATATAAAACAATTCAACTCGATAGTGATGTAGATTTGTCATGTGCTCAACTCTCCGTTGTGGCCGCCCTCGAATTGCAAACATATCATCCATATTCAAAATGGCAATATCATGCATTTGGCAAAATGAAGAAAGTTCACTCAACAAAGATTCTCATCCTTCATATATCAACAATTGTAACCATTGTTTGGAAACTTTGACTAGGGCCATAGCATTTATAATGTCTTGATCTTTTCTCTGCAATGCTTTTGACAACTTATTAGTAATTGCCAATATACTTTTCTTCATATGCAAGCTAAATGCAAAATCAAAGGGATAGATTCAATCTAACAGATTACATGCTTCACCCCTTTGTTCAGGATTTAAACCATCTTCTTCAATAACCTCAAGCACATCGCCCATAGAGGAGAACAAAAGGATTAAGTTTATCAGTGTATAATAATATGAGCCCCAACGTGTATCACCAACTCATTTTAGACTTGTCTCTTGATTCGAACCTCATCCTTGCTATCTTCACCAATTTCTAGTGCTTCAACAAGTTTATTAACTTGGCTCTCTTGAAGCATGTCTCGATGCTTGCATGAACATCCAAGAACATTTATCAAATTAGTAACCAAGTTGAAAAACGAAGCAACATAAATGTGATTTTTTGCAATGGCTACTAGTATCAATTGAAGTTGAGCAAAACAGTGAACATAATAAGCATATTCATTCTCCCTCAAAATCAAACTTTTTAAACCATTAAATTCTCCTTGCATATTACTTGCCCCATCATAACTTTGTCCACGTAATTTTGACAAACTCAATCCATGCTTACAAAATAATGACTTAAGAGCCATCTTAAGTGATACTGCAGTTGTGTCACTAACATGTACAGTGCCAAGAAACCACTCAAGCACATGACCCTTTTTATCTACATAACGTATGGCAATAGCCATTCCTTCTTTAATCGACACATCACGAGACTCATCAATCAAAATTGAAAAGATGTCATCTCCAAGATCACTAATGATAGCCTTTGTGGTTTCATTTGCCGCAACATTCAAAATATCTTTTTGAATCACTGGTGCTATCAATTTAAGATTCCCAAGTGCATTCTTCAAAACAACACTCTTAAAATGTTCATTGTGACGAGCTAGAAAATGAAGAAATCTGAGAAAGTTACCTTGCTTCTTCGAGTCTTTAGTTTCATCATGACCACGAAATGCCAACCCTTGATGCAAAAGAAATCTAACGCAAACAATGGATGCAGTCAAGCAAGTTCGGTATTCAGTCCGAACTTGATCTGATTGCTTAGAGAGAGGCGCTTCGATATGTTGCTTTTGATTCATTAAATTCACACAACTTTGTCGTGCTTGGTTATGAGCACTATTTGGCTGGCCAACATGAATTTTAAAGCGTTCTGGTTTCTTCCAATTACAAAATCCCTCACTGACGAAAGTGTCACTACCAGCTTGGCTTATAATAGTAGGTCTAAAAAGATAACAATACAAGCAGAATGCAGCATTTTTTGTCACACTATACTTAAGCCAACTGCCATACACACCAAACCAAGCAGTATTAAATCGACGATATCCTTTTTCCAAATTTTGTCAGCGGAAATGCATGATTTCGAGGTTGGTAGCAACTCTTATGCAAGTAAAATCTTTGAATTGCATCCCTATAATTAGGATGATAATGATTGATTTTAGGTCGTGGAGCTGGATCAGACGGAAGATCTTTCAAGATGGCTTTTTTATTTTCTTTATCAGTGGCTTTATTTTTTTTTTTTTTACTGATGAGTATGATTGGTCTATTGCTAATTTTATTTTAAGAAATTTATCCATATTGCATACCTAATAAGAAGTTTTAAACAAATAAAACAATAAGAAATTGTACAAGAATAATAACCCATAGTGATTTACATACATAGTAATGGAAAGACAATAAGACATACATAGTAACTCATAGTGATTTATATACAGAAGACAATAAGAATATGATATTTCATGGGCTTGAAATTCCTTTTAGACTCATTTAACATGAATCGTGCATATTTATAGAAAAAAAGAAGAAGTCAACTCTTTTTGAAATGTCCCAAAAATAAAGATGAATAAATTATAAATGATAAAAATCTAGGTGTAATTACTTACTCAACATAAAAACAAATAATTCTTGATTTATACGTGTCATTTTATAATTCTTGAAGAATAGGAAAAAAAAATTCATAGGAAATGTTTATAAAATTTGATTTAGTCAAGTAATTTAATGAGGATGAAAGAAAGATACATAAAAAATGATTACTCAAACTAATCTTTACCAACAATAAATAATTAGTTGTTTCTATTGATAAAGTTAAAAAAGTTTTTGATATTGCCAACAAACCTATTATGAAATAACTAATATTTTTTTGTCCTTTTTTCATTGAACTTGATTAAAAATCTTAAATATGCATCTTTTAAATTTTTGTAATAATTTTTTTTTTTTTTTTGTTTATATTGATAATAAGTTTTTGTAATAAGTTTTAGTAATAATTAGCTGTTTATGTTGATAATAAGTTTTAGTAATAAGTTTTTGTTGTTTATGTTGATAATAAGTTTTTGTAACCTAAACTTGTTATCATTGTTGTATCTTTTGGTATAACTTTCAATTGCATATTTGCATTGAGTTCAAGGAGAAAAACAAGGCAAAAGAGAGCATTGAGGTTTTGAAAAAATCTTATGTATTTTATTTAATGCAAGTCAATCACCTTTTGCCATTTTTGTGCTTTGTGGTCCTTGGATCATGTTTGTATTTATTTGTACCAATGTTCTGAGTATATGTATCAAATATTAGCTTGAATCATACATAAGAAGTTTGACAACATTCTTTCTCTGTCTAAATAAAATTGAGAGGCTTGTCCACTACCTTCAGAAAAGTATTTGAAAGGCAACTCTAAAAACTACATTTTAAGCAGAAAAACCTTAAAATTGCCTAACAGGAAGAACAAGAATTTTGTAGGCCAGTATCTTTTTAATTGACAAAAAAATTTGTCGCCATACTTCTAACTATTAAAATATTAGACCTTGATATTTGGCAATTCTATTAATGGTTATGCATAACCTTATTCTCTATACAAAATTTTCAATAAAAAAGGCATGTCCAAATGTAAGAGTAGTTCACTAGATTAATAATGTAGCAACCTTGCAATATCAAGAGCGATTCTCACAACTATTGATTGTTTCAGTGCTTATTTTCTTTTCAAGAATAAACGAAGATCTCCCTGCAACAAGAATAAAAGATTGAAACTAGTTTGTACTTTGTTTAACAATAAACATGTGACCGCCCTACAAACATGAGAGAAGCAATAAAGAAACAATAATGCTAAATGTACAAACAAATCTTACAAAGATTTGTATACAAACTGATGTGACAAAAAATGAATGGAAGAGTGAATATGATGAGTTTGACTTTTTGTACCTACTCTTCCATTCATTTTCTGCCACATCAGTTTATACATAAATCTTTATAAGAGTTGTTTATACATGTAGCATTACTCATAAAGAAAACATCAAGGCACCACAAAGCACAAATATCAAGGGACCACAAACCATATAACTTATAATTTTTTATAACTTATAATGTATTTGATACAGCAAAAGGATATCTTTTTTTTTTTTTTTTTTTTTTTTTGTTTTTGTGCTGAACCAAGAGATTGAGATGGAAGAAACTAGGGAATGCCAAGAATTTGTGAAAAATTACACCAATGTTTTTTCACTAAAAATAAACAATAATCAACAACAAACAACAATTATAAAATAAACAGCCACATAATTCATTGTCATCTCATTAACATAAAGATATCATCACTAAATTATTCAATTTGATTTATGGAAACATTATCTCTTAAATCATTCAATTATTTCTTGATAACACTATTACTATTAATAATAATAGAGATATTAAGCATAGTATTGAAAATGAGCATCTTCAAATGATTTTTTTTTTTTTTTTTTTCAGCTGAAAGGACCTCTTTATTGCTTGTAAGAGTCAAAGAGTGTAGAAACAACACAAGAACAATGGCTTCGTTTGGTTGGATTTTAGGAATACTACTTTTAGTATTCCCAAAAAAGTTAAACAGTAAAATACCCAAAAACTCACAATATTATTCAATTTATTCAAAATTTTTTAAACCCCATAAATTTGTTAATTCAATTAATACCCTAATATTTTTAATGTTTTTGTTACGGCGACTCCGGCCACCCTCCGACGGTGGTGGCCGGCTGTCCGTATTTGAGGGTGGATTGAGGGTGTTTTTGTTAACTTTTAATGTTTTATTATAAGGGGTGTTTTGTAAAAAAACAAACATAGGGGGTATTTTATAATTTATAAATCCTACATCGTAATACCCGCCCAATTCAACTTTTTTTTAACTTTTTTCAAAAAACTTTTCCCAAAAACACAAAATTGTGAACCAAACGGAGCCAATGACTGCAAGTATGCAAAGAACCAAAAAAAAAAAAAAATTGGAAAATCTTAAAAAAAAAAAAAAAAAAAAAAAAAAAGGCAGGTAAAAGTGGGTCCACCCTTCAAATATCTCATAACTTTCTCTACCTTTCTAGTCAGATCATTATCACCACTCCAATAAATATGAATTCATTTAAAAGAAAACATTGCAATAGCCCAGCACCGAATAAACTCAAAACTATGGTCTTGAAATGAATATATTATTTCTGTTCTCATAAACAAAAGCCAAATATATCATTTACTTGTATAAGCTTTTAAATTAAAAGTTAAAAATTAAGTTAACAAGATCATGATTTTAATTAATTGTTTTCTTTCTTGCAGATGCAAACTTAGAAACTCTAAAAAGATGGTTATATAAAATTTTACAGTATACACTAAACTATTACTCAAATCTCAAATTCTTAATAAATAATACAAGTAGAACAATAGCGAATCTTAATTCTATTGAAAGAATGTAACAACAAAACATCAATAATAGAGAAAATTAGGGATTTAGGGTTAGGGACATTACCTTTTTATAAATTGATGAAAAATAGTGTCGGTTGAGACTTGGAAGGAGAGTTAGGTGAAAGAGACTTGAGAGTTTAGAGCACCATGAGAGAAAGAGGCAAGAGAGATTCTAGGTTTCTATTTTGCGTTGCCATTTTGGCAAGAGTCCCAAAATAAAAAAACAAAATCCAAAAGTTCTATAGGGGCCAAATATATATATATATTAACTGGGGGGATTCACCCAGATTCACCTGCGATTGGACCGGTGGTATTTTAGCAACCCGTCAATCTAATCGGTTTTTGGAAGGAAAAAAACCAGGTGAATTAAACACTAGAAAACAACAAACTTTGGACGGTGTTCGACAGGCAAACATGAGGAAATTTTAAGGGTGGATCATGGTGAGTCTAGAGGTAGTGTCTGATTAAGTTTCAGTCACTGGACTTTGGCTAAAACAAGGTGAATCAAACACCAGAAAAAGACGACTTTTGGTCTGTGTTTGGCAGGCAAACATGAGGGAATTTTAAGGGTGGATCACAATGAGTCTAGAGGTAGTGTTTGATTAAGTTTTAGTCACTAGAATTCGTCCAAGAAATGGTGAAACCCTTAGCTTCTGATTACCTACAATTAGTGGGTGGAATGGCTTGGGAACTTTGGGGGTTTTGTAGGGGAGTAGCCGGTAAGTCTAAGTGTGGTGGTGGTTAGAGCTGTCGTCGCTCAAAACAACCAAAATTTGACAAAGGCCAACCAAAAAAACATGTTTTTCGTCTCTGGCAGTCGACAAGTGATAAGCACTATTTTAAAACTTGACCCAGTCCAGCCGGTTTAATCGAGACCCACGAGCTTCACCGGGTCAGATTAACAATTTCTCTACTCACCTAAAACCCTAAAATTTGGGATGATGATCGGCGAACAATTGAAGGTCGGGATGTTGGGCTTTTGAACAAAAAGTGTTGGTGAGTGCAATGGTGGTGACGGAGTTGATTTTCGATGAGTAAATCGACTGAAAATCGAAAAAAAAGGCAACGACAATAGCCGACTTTTGCCGACGATTGGCAAGGCTAACAGAGGTGGGGTGAGGTGGGTTTTGGTCAAGAAGAAGAGGGGAGTATTTTTCGAGTGATGGGGAGCAGTATCGACGTCGCATCAGTGAGATCTGGCCGAAATCGAGCAGATTTCGACCAGATCTTGGGTAGATTTTCTAGAGTATGGACTCAAGGGATGATTGGGATTGTTTTTTGGGTGTCTCTTCGGCCAATTTGTATTTGGAATGTGTTTACTAAATTTTAAACCTATAGGGACTTAACTGTAATTTTTAGGGGTGTATTTGCTAAATTTTAAAAGTTTTGTCACCTATTTTGACTAGCCGGTCAAACCAATTAAACCAGTCAACGTAGGACCCAACAACTTTGCTGGGTTTCACCTCAGGCTGGTTATTAAAACATTGGTGATGAAAGGGGATAAAGGGTATGGTTTGGAGAGGGTGGAGGTTCCAATGCTGGTAACAATGGTGATTTTGGGTGAGAAAATGGCCGAAAAAGAGGAAAGAAGGTCAACGTTGATGCGTGCTAACGTAAGCTGGAAATAGCCATCGTGCTAACGTGCACCGAATTAAAAAATTTTAAAGTTTTTTTAGATGACACGTCACCAGTACCCACCGGTCAACCCAAGACCCGGCTTCTTTGCCGAGTTTAGCCCCAAGTTGGTTTTTAAAACATTGTAATAAAGTATCATGTTAAAAAGTAACTGCAAGGAATGAGATTTTTCCATGACTTTTTAAACAAAAATGAACTTTTTTTATTGATGTATTTTATTAAATATGTAAGGTTTTCAAAATAAATTGAACAAATTATTAATTTCTATAAGTGTTGAAAACTGATCTGGAAATGCTAATCCAACTACTTTGGGTGCGTTTGGTTCACATAATGTTTTATTATTATAATATTATATTAATGGAAATATAGATTACCTTGAAAATTATTTGGAATGTTTAGGAAAATGTATTTTGTTAGTTTAGAATAAATTAGTGGGTATATTATATTGATATGTTTGATTGAGAGGTAAATGAGTGGGTATGTTATATAGATTACTAAATTGCCCTCCTTTTAAAATATTAATATATTATTATTTTTTGAATTAAACCCCTACATTTGAAATTTTGCTAAATCACCCCAGCCAAATAAAACTTTAATTTATAGCAAAATCACCCCCACCCACCCCAAGCCACTGTCGACAACCAACCACCGCCACCGACACTGTCAGAAGTCACCATAATGGCGCACGACCAACAGGATATGGCTAATCGTACATTGGCAAGGCCGTTTTCGACTATGGATCTATGATCCATGGCCTGAAACAGTCGCAACAACGACCTTACCGACGCACGACCAACCATATCTTGCCTGTCGTGCGTCATTACGACGACTTCCAACAACATTAGCAGTGGTCTTGGGTGGCTGCGGGTACTTTGTTAACTTTTAAATTTTTTTGTGGCTGGGGTGTTTTAGCTAAATTTTCTAATATAGGGGGTCTGGGTAATAGTTATTTGGTGGATATTTGAAGGCAATTGTGTGTGAAATGGTATTTAATTAAGGACAAAATAAGTATAAAAATCATATTACCCAATAATCTTTTAATAACACCCCCTGAGTTGGGAGTTTATTTGATTACCTCTTATATTACCAACAGTAAACACTATGGGTGCATTTGGTTCAGAGAATGTTATATTACTGAGGAATGTTATATTACCGGAAATATAGATTACCCGAGAATCTTTAAAGGAATATGCTTGGTTGGTTAGAAAAAATTAGTGAATATGTTATAATAATATGTTTGGTTGAGAGGATAAATGAGTGGGTATGTTGTATAGATTACTAAATTGCCCTCCTTTTTAAATAATAATATAACATTATTTTTATTATTATTTTATTCTATTATTTTTTTAAAATTATTTCTTTTAACCCCCTATATTTGAAATTTTGCTAAAACACCCCATCCATATAAAACTTTAATTTGTAGCAAAATCACCCTCACCCACACCAAGCCACTGCCGATAGCCAGCCACCACTACCAACAGCCGCCGTAATGGCGCACAACCGATCGGATTTGGCTGTTCATATGCTGGTAAGGCCTAATCTGGCCATGGACGGCTAGATCTAATCGTGAATATGGTCGTGAACGTGAAACAACCACAAATCTGGCCGTGAAATGCCAGATCTTTCGCCGTGAAACGACGGCCATTTCACGGTCAAATCTATGGTGTTTCACTGCCACATCTTTGGTCGTGAAACGGCCAGATCTGGTCATTTCCGACCATGGATCACAAATCTATGGCTGGAAACATCCTTATTGGCATATGATCGACAAAATCTCACCGATCTTATATCGATATGACAACTTTCGCCGGCGGCCAACGGTGGTGGCTAACGGTCGACAGTAGTCTTCGATGGTTGGGGGTATTTTGTTAACTTTTAAATTTTTTTGTAACTGGGGTGTTTTAGCTAAATTCTCACATATAAAGGGTCTAGGTAATTGTTATTTGGTAGACATATGAGGACAAATGTATTCGAAATGATAAAAGATTAAAGGCAAAATAGAGTCAAAATTAAGATTACCTCGATAATCTTATATTAACACCCTTTGAGATGGTAATCTGATTACCCTCAATATTACTAACAATAAACACTATTTGTAATAAAAGATTACTTGACAACTAAGCGAGGGAATCTTGAAAATTAAACAAAGATTACAAGATTAATCTTATATCACCCCGAACCAAACGCAACCTGTTTACAACAAAAAATGCCCGTAATATTTTATTACTTGCAAACAAAACAAGAGAATCTTGAAAATTAAACGAAGATTACCCCTGTAATCTTATATGAACCCGAACCAAACAGACCCTTTGTATGAAATTTTTTAACCACCGGACCCCAATTTTCTAACCATAAAATAGATCAACAGAAACTGTAAGCAAACAAAAATACAACTAATATTCCGCACAATCACGTTGCAACCAGAAATTATGCAGTAAAATTAGTTCAATCCATATAAAAAAAAAAAAAAATACATTCAATAAATTTCCACATACATATCCTTCAACTTTTTGGATTTGTAATTCCACTTTACAGCTCAGCACTTCGGCCAACTGGTAATTTTTGAAGTTCAGGTGAAGTTCTGGAAATTCTCCAACTCTCTACTCTTAACAAAGAAATCAAGTCCCTAACTTGTCTTCCCAACAGATACGGCTGAGCGAGAAAGACAATCAAAAGATAATCAAAATGACACTCTTCATGACATCTTCCCAGTGTAAAACTGCTCAAATTTTAAAATGATGCTGCTTCTAATGGAAGAGCCGACTCAACTACCGCACCTAATTCATATTATTTTTATTCAATAGGCAGAAAAAAGAAGTGCATAATCACAAATGAAGGAGCCTTACATTTCTGAATTATGCAAAACTTGCGAGGACTGCAATCCAGTGGGCGAACTCTCTTTCCGTTGTGCTACATGATAAGTTACAAGATAATTAGACAATGGAACCCACCAAAAAATCTGTCATGCAGAAGTCAATAACAAAGAAAAAAAAAAAAAATGAAATACAAACAAGTGGAGAAGGAAAGGTGGGGTTGGAGGAGGGACAAGGATCTTAACCACCTTTCAATTTCGTTAAAAACTTAGATTCATGTTTCCTATGAAGCTACCCATTATACCATAGATCTTAACTGGCACAAAGTTTCAATTATTTAATAGTGAAACAGATTCTAGTTTAAAGGGTACATTCAAACAATTAGCCATAGATGAATAGAGAGAGAGTAAATTTACCAAGTTGGGAACTTTGGTATTAATCCACAAAAGCGATCGAGGCAAACATTTTTATATATCCAAATCATCATCTGGGTCCTCATCTGAATCTGGCATCTCATCATCTGAATCCCGAAAATATATTATCTGACCCTTGTCAGAGCTCTCATCTGTCTGCAAACTCTGAGTTGAAACAAGTGTCTCCTCATTGAGAGACCTTCGACCATCATAAATTTGTATTGGTTCACCATTTCCTGACGCAAAGAAAAATTGAAAATAAAGTTTCTAGCAGAAGATAGTCAAGAAAGGATAAATGAGAATAATAGAAAATAATACTCTTTCCAATTATTAACATGAAAGATTTGTGTAAAAAGCTTATAATCATTTTCAAGAAATAAAAAATGGAATTTGATATCCATCTATATTTTCCAATACCTTGGTGCTCAAATGGAAGCACAACCTTGGCCCTTTCAGTTCGCTCCTTCTCTGATAGCTCAAGATTGAACTGCACCTGTTAAATAACAACACCAATATCTAGTAAATGTCAAAAAAATAAGAGTATCAAGGTCCTTTCTTGCATATCTATTTGTAACAACATATTCATTTCAGAGTGCATGCGTGTAAATGCATAAAAATGTTCCTTTTTTTCTCTTTTCCTTTCCTGTCTTCTCTTAGACTTATAACCGTTCTCTGGTTAACCAATAAAGTCTTTAAGAAATTTTATCTTTCACAGGCATGCATGACAAAGCAGTGTAGTTTGTGTGCACAGCATGAAAGAGACGGGGGGAGAGAAAGGGAATACCAAATTATCCTCTAAAATCGAGATAAATTTATACAACTGACCTTTGGCAAAAGGCGTTGATTAATTATTTCATCTTCAGACAACGAAACAGACGTAAAGTTGATGCCTGACAGCTCCACAAGTAATTCTTCACACTAGAAACAAATTTGGATAAAATATTATTTCAGTTTCTTCTCCATAAAGCGGCATAAAATCCTCCACAAAGAAGTTAAGACACAAAAATATCACCATAACTCGAACACGCCCGTTCCTTCGCTTGAACCGAACATTAAACTTTCCTTTCCTAAAGTTCTGCTCAAGCAAAGAGAGATTCTCTAAATCACCTCTTTGTGCAATTGTAGATCTTGTAAATGGTTCCAGGCTGGCAACAATTGAGGATAAATATTCAAGAACAGCGGTGACCCTGGCTTCATGAAGATCTGAATGTAACAACCAAAAGATACTAGAAACTTGATCTGAAACCATAGAACAATGGTGAAAAGATAGCATCAGAACAAAAATGTATCACACAAACCACAAACTTCAGAGATTTCTATAAGTCAAGGGCAATTCATTTAATTACAGTTGCACACCAGAAGTGCATACCAGATTACTAAACAGAAGATTAGAGGACCTGCCTATTAGGTTTCATTTTTTTTATGGCTAATCATTTGACTTAAAGATAAATACTACACCAGCACTGCAAAAAAAAAAAAAATTCTTTTTTTGATAAGTTGAAAATCCAATTGATGCAATCAAACATTAACAAATGGCTAGACTAATAGACAGGGATTTTACGAGATTTGATGATGTTCACAATAAATCAAGAGATAACAAAATCAAGTACATACCATGGCTACGAAGGTTGCTTAGAAGGCCTGCAACTGATGTTATAGATGCAAGTCTTAACATTTCACTTACCTGGCAAAATTGTTGAAAGTCTATTAAAGATTATTACAAACAACAAAAGGAATATACAAGATAAAAAGTAGAAACCAACATCATATTATAATAAACACACATGAAAGCTGAGACGTAACAATATAGAAAAGGGCATGACCTCCAATCAAACTCCAAAATGGTAAATTTATTTCTGAAAGTTTTTTTCAAAATTAAAGGTATCTTTGAACCACCAAGGCAAAAACCAATCAACAACCAACTTTCACCACACAATAGTATATTACAGATGATATGAACCTTCCAAATCAATATGAAAACTTTATCGCACATAAAATTTGCAGTATCGCCAAAATTCCACATCCGAGATAGTGTGATCTTGTATGTAATCATTTTAAATATGACTTTTCACTAAAAATATTTGCAACTTCACCAGATATTTTAAATGGAGAATATTTAAAAAGAACGAAAAAGAAATGCATACTCAAATATAAGCTCCCTGACATGACCAGTAATTTTAAAGAAGAAAACAAGTTGCAATTCCAACTTGAAGATAAAAGAATATTACTAGAAAAAGTGATTAGGTTTAAAAAATCATTGAGATAATGCAATCTCATATTGTCTTTAATGATAATGTAAATGCTTATTGGAATTTTAAACAATAATAAATAAACCAACAGTTTTTTTTCTCCCTTAAATCCAAAAATCCCTTGACCTCTCATACTTGATTACTAGGTTCTAAACTGAGGATACTTCCAATCCCTGCAACCTTGGTAACCAGGAAACCTATAGGATGTAATATCCCAAGTAATTGACCACAAGGGGATTTGAATCCTGGACCTCTTAGTTGACAGACATGGGCTTATTGTCATATTAACTATCAAAATCATGAGGGACGTTTAATTAATTATTTGCCTATTTACTAACTTATGAAAAATGAGTTATCCCTATCTTAGATACTATATGAATGTGCCTTCTAACTAGTGAACTTTTCAGCTGTTTTACCAACAAAACATTGCATTCTAAAATGGTATCAACCTTCATTGCCAAGTCCTACAATTCTTTTTCACTGTGTTAAAACCATGAACCATGTGACATATATTTTTATCTAAAAGTCATGAAAATGACAGTGATAAGTATAAATCAAGAGGTTTTCATGGGTTCCAAAAGTCATGTGACCATGCCAAGCTTGTCTAGAAAGAGACAATAAAAAGCACTATATTAGTACATCTTTCAAACAACTTCTGAATTAAATAAAACATGACATATTTCTTTTCACTGATCCAGGAAAACACCATCAAAGCAAAATCTCATCCACAAATGTCAATCAATGGTTGCACCCAAAAAGTAAGGCCTATCTTACACATACTCTCATAATATCTTTACTTCTAGATAATATATTAATTTTTAACTAAGAAACTGCATATGCTACCCTCATAGTTTCTACCTTTGGTTTGGCTGGGTGTATCCCTCAAGGTTTATTGCACTTGATTAGGAAGTTTCCTTGAAACACCTCAAGAAAGGGATATGACACACAGAATTCACATTAAAATCCAAACCCTTATTCTTGGTACATGTTTGCTACTCAATAGGAAGCTTCAGCATATCACAACATAATATTCCTCGAAGTAGAATTTAATTTAAGATTCAAATTTCTAAATTGTATTGCCATGCAAATGACATAGAAAGCAACTAAATGTCCAAAGTATAAACAAATCAGAACACACAAGAAAGCTCACTTGAATTAAAAGAAACTTTTCAGGAATGATATTACATCTAATTAACCATCTAAACAATATTTACAAATAAGGGATACAGAATTACCAAGTCAATGGCAACAAAGAAACGACCTTTCCCTTGTCCAACCAATCCTGCAAACACGAACAAAAACTTTCAAAACGAAAGCCCTAGAACCCAATTTTTTATCTTCATCAACATGATTTCAGTTATCTAAACTGAGCTTCACACTTGAAAAAAAAAAAAAAAAAAAAAAAGAAGCGGCAATTACCTTGACCCAATTTAATAATTGAAGAGTACAACTTATCTAAATCTCTCACATCCTTACAAAAAGTAGACAAAGCTGAAGCTTCCCAGGAAAGATCCTCAATATTTAACCGAACTTTCCAACCAAGCGGATCCGTATAACAATCCAATATCTGAATCCTGTTAACAAAATATGAATTCAAAATTCCCCACAAGATTAGTAAAGCAAGCAGATGCCAATAACTACCAAATACATTTTCATTTTAAACTTTAAAAAGAATACCAACGAATAGAGAAATACGTTCAATTTTTCAGATGACCTCAAAAAAATAAATAAATAAATAAGAAAAAATTGTCCCAATTCCTGTAATATCTATGAGTCAGTGATATAATGCTTACAACCAAAAAGAATATAAAAATAAATTAGGAATAAGTATAAAATAGTGGAATTATTCACCATTTATTAGCTGAAGTGACGTCAATTCCTCTTCTCTTCAACAAATCCACGTAAAACGACGGACTCCGACAAAAGGCAACAATCACGAGACCTCTGCATTTTGTTTCAGTAAAAAAAAAAAAATGAAATTCGACCATTTTTATAAGGAAACCAAAAAAAAAAAAAAGAAACAAAACGCGTTCCGGTGCTGTGAGTGGAAGAGACCGTGACTGAGATTTTCCCGCCAAAATATAGTTGGAGAGCTGAGTGAGCACGTGTGTGAAGACATCAAGACCGAAGGGTGAAGCTATGGAGTCCTTGATAGTGAGAGCAGGCGCGTGTTCTCCTTCTAAACCTCCGTCGCGAAGTGTTCTGCAGATAGTGTCGGCCATGGTTGGTGTGTCTCCGATTACAGTTACAGAAACCCTAGTTTTGAAAATAATTTGGGGATTTTGCAACAAGGGGCTCCATATTTTCAATTATTACTTATTGGACGAAAGGTCCGTGTTTTACTGTTTTTATCCAAAAAGTTCAAAAAAAAAAAAAAAGATGTGGGGTCACATTGAATTTAGGTATCCTTTTCACATTCTATAAAAAAGTCAATCGAAACGTCTACTTCAATCAAATAATAATATTAATAATTTAATATATTACAAAATTAGGATTCAATTTCCCATAATTTGGAGAGTTATGCAGTATAATCAACTCCTTTATTACCTTATTATATAATTTTTATATTATAGAATTAATTATTACATTATTTAGATAATCTAATATGAGAAAAAGTAATCCACTTTTTTCCACACAAATAATTGATTAACGATACTTTTTCACCTACAAACTTTTAAAATATCATTTTATTATCCAAACTTACATTATGTTTCCGATTTCAGTATCGTTGAGACCGCACACCATTATTATTCTCTTTCTCGATCATCATCATCAAAACCCTTAAAACTCTACATCGTCGACAATTAAGTGATTAGAGTTTATACAACCACCCCTCCTAAGTCAAATTCTGACCAATCTCAACCACCAAAATCCAATTTTTCACCACCTAAAGAGTCATTGGTCTTCCCTCTTCAAAAGTTCGAACAACCTAAATCAAGTTTGCTCTATATTCATCGTTGAAATATAAATTTAAATAATAAAATAGTATTTTAAAAGTTTATGGATAGAAAAATGTTATTAAATCATTATTTAAGTGGAAAAAAGTCTTCAACTCTGTAGATAAATGTATAATCTTTGTGCCAAGCAGAAAAATCCAACCTAAGACTATAGATTACACCATTTCCAACCCCTATGATTTATCCTTACCATTAGGCTACCTATGGGTTGGTAAACCTTCTCAATTTTATATGTTGAATGATCCAAAGTCTACTTAAAATTTAATTGATGAGATGGTTATGGTTATAACAACTCTCGCTACGAATCTTGTTCTAAAAATATGTATCATTGTCCTATTGATAGTCAAGTTGCAATACTAAATACGAGTAACTTATCATAAAGGTTAAATTTCTCTTATAATAAACTTTCTGCATTGGTCCTCACAGAATTCAGATTATTAAATTTTTATCTGCAGAAGCTCTTATCAATTCCTACTACATTATTCTAAATCTAATCATTAATAAAATTATGAAAAGAAAAAATAAATGGTTCTTCACCATGTGAAAAACATTTAATTTAAAAAATTAAAATTTTAAGAATCTGACGAGAAATAAGACAAAAATAAGAGTCATGTTTTTTTTTTTTTTTCTAGATCTAATGAAGTAATAATTCATATAGAAGTATTGAAGTGACACCCAAAAAATAATTAATAACATGATTAATTTATTGTTAAATGATTACATATTTAAATCATAGTTTAAGTTGGAAAGGTGGCTTTTTCACACGAAACCGCTTTCTCAAAAAGTGAAAAAGGTACGTTCTGCGTGGGTTGCAGTTGCTCAACGTGGGCATGCCCATGCCCCATCCTCTGGGAACTTCATGTGCGTAGAATTACTTCTTCATCAAATCCCTTATTTTATAATAATAAATATCAACGAAATCAGGTCGTGCCACGTATAGAAAACAACGGGTATCTGCTAAGTTAATCACACAAAGAGTTTTCCGCTTTGTTTCACAATGTGAAGCAATTTCCTCGGTCCACGTAATGATCGGTGATGGGACCCAGCAAAAAGTAACCGCTCAACCTACAAACATGATCACAGTAACAGACGATGTCCACCGACTACTAAACATAACGGCCATAAACCAAAACCAAAACCAAAAACCCCCACAGTTTACACGAGAAACCCAAGTTGGAAATCACCGAAAATTCCGTCATTTTACGTGTCCGTCTAATCTTCTTTATTTATTTATTTTTTTTTTTTTCTCGGTATTTAAGGTAAGTCTAGGCATAAAGACAATTCCAGTTGAAGCTGGACCTTTTTAATGGTTTTGGACCAACTTTCGATAATTACTGGGTAAACCTAATTAAGGCTAACTTTGAATGGAAAATTTTGGTCATTAAGAATTAATAGGTCATTCAACAATGAAAACTAAACACGGTTTGCCTTAACGTGATATGTTTCAATATTAAAAGTATTCTAATTCAATTTTTTTATTTGATGAGAAAAATAAGATAAATATTCAAAACTTTTATTCTTATCAGGAAAATCACTAAATAACTTTGACTAGACACAACGTTATTTATTATAGGAATGATCCTATCATTCTTCTCTAAGGTATGATCATTTTATAAGAAAGAAACGATCGTTTTTCAAAAAAAAATAATTATTTCTTATAAATAAATAATCATTCTTTTATAAAGAAAATATCATTTTCTTATAAAGAAATCGATTGTTTCTTAAATCTAAATAAAATTATTTTGTATCTTAAATATAATAGAATTGATGTGATAGTACCACCTCAGTTTCTACGTTTAGAGTTATGAAATAATTACTCTTAAATGAAAAGGAAAAATAATAATAAAAATAAATTTCTTTTATTATACGTCACTTTCTAAATATAATAAAAAAAAATTCCCAAGTTTCGTGCAAAATAAAAGAAAAGAAAGAGAGATAAGAAAGAAGGAGAAGGAAGCTGTGAAGTGAGTCAGAGTCAGAGCCCACTTCGTCTTCAGTATCACTCTATCTAGCCAATCTTTATCATTCATATTTCATTCCATTCCATCTCCAACTTGTTTTGTTTTCTTCTCTTTCCCTCTCTCTCGTTGCCCTTTCAAACTCTTTAAAAACCAGCAATGCCACCCCGTTATTTTTCATTCACATCTTCACAATACCCATTCACTTAACGCTCTCTCTTTTTTACCTTCCTACTCTTTCACATGGACTCCAATTTCAACTACAAACCACTCCTCAGGCTCACCTGCTCCGTCCAAACCTACGATTGGGGCCGACCCGGTCGTGACTCACTCGTTGCCAGGCTGTATGGGTTGAATTCTGGTGGCGAAGTTGAGTTGGACAGGTCTTATGCCGAGTTCTGGATGGGAACTCACGAGTCAGGTCCTTCTTTTGTGGTTAACAGTGGGTTGGAAAACGGGAATGGGCCTGAGAGTGGTAGTTTTAAATCTTGGGTATTGAAGAACCCTAATGTGCTTGGTGATAAGGTTTTGGTCAACTGGGGTTGTGATCTTCCTTTCTTGTTCAAGGTTTAATTTTCACTTGTATTTTTTGTTTTTTCTTATTTTGAATTGTTTTTTAATGTGGGTGTTCTTGTTTATATTTTTTATGCTGAAGTAAAGTTGTGTTTTTGGTGAATGAAGTGTAGGTTGTGTGTGAATTTTAAGATGAGAATTGATTCTTTAGAATGCATTCTTGGGAATTCTGTGCGCTAATTGAGGAACTGATTTGTTTGAAACTGAATGGGTAAGGAATGGCTTCTAATTACTGGGTCAAAAATGGTGTTTGTTTAATAGAACTGTTCTTTAGGCTGACGAAATATACAGCAGAATTGTTCTTGCTGACCTATGTTATCTCTTCAAAAAAAGGAAATAAATAATATATATATATATATTAAAAAAAAAAAAAAAAAAGTAGACTTGAGAGTATCTGTTCTCTGTTTGTCTCATTATCTTTTTATAAAGCTATTTATCCTAACTTGTGTTGGCCTTTTTAACTGCTTTGAAAAAGGGTATATATTCCTATCACTAAAATGTTCCATTATTCTTTCGATCTTTAATTTTTTTTTTTTTTTTTTTTTTTTTTTTTTGTTGTTGTTGTTGTTGTTGTGTGTGTGTGTGTGTGTGTGTGTGTGTGTGTCTAATTATTCTCATATATCCGAAATAAATGAAGAAAAAGAAAATGCTGATTCTGAATGATGGTTTTGTGAAGTTGAAAAGCATAAAAGGTTAACATGTTCTGTTTCCAACTATGACTGGGGCTAACTGGGCCATGACTTAAAAGCTTCCAGGCTGTTTAGGTTGGATTCTGGATAAGTAAGTGGATTAGAAAAGCATTGCTCATGACTATGGACCATCTTTTGTGGTTCAAAGCATTTGTGAGAATGGTGAACTAGCAGTTGGGTTGGATTGTAACAACTCTGAAATTGTGGCTATCAAAAAATTGCAACGTGCTTGGCAATAATGTTTTGGGTGAGTGAGGATGTGATGTGATCTTCCTTTTTAATGCAAGGTATATATGCTTGTGGCTTTAGTTGAGTCTGTAATTTTATATTTTACTTCTTGGAGACTTTAATAAAAAAATTACTGAACATTTTTAGAATTTTTTTTATGATGCAATGTGATGGTGGTGGTGGTTTTTAACTTTTTGTTTTTGGTTAATTTACATCTTTAAATTTCATAGACCTAAGATGTAAACAGAAGAATTCTTTCTCTACCTGTATATGATTTGCCTGTCACCTGTGTTCATAAAGCGATTCTTTGTGTAATTCATTGTTATAAAAAATTTTTGGATTTTTAATGTCAGTTTGGCTGGGCATGCAAGTTTTTATTGTAAATACTTTGTACTTTCTGTTTTTGATTTTCTCTGATTTCTAATTCTGTAATTCGGTTTGGACCTTAGTCTAATTTTCATTGCTTGGTTTGTGTTAGGTACTTTCAGTTGCAAAAGCATTGTCGATACAGGCTCATCCAGATAAGGAATTGGCAAAGACGTTGCACAAGTTGCTGCCCAATGTTTATAAGGATGACAATCACAAGCCTGAAATGGCTTTGGCAATAACAGAGTTTGAGGCCCTATGTAGTTTCATTAGTCTTCAGGTAATGTATCAGTATTAGATTCATCTGCACTCAGATTTGTCTCATGTAATTGCATTTTAAGTGAACGAGTCGCTTCTATAATTTGCTTCTGAGTGTTCTATTATGATTAAAGCAATGAATAAAAGAGGAAAAGATGTAGTCAAAACTTGACTGCTATTAATCTCTAGGTTATGTTTAAAAATCTATGGTGACTTTTTAACAGACAGTTCTTAGAAACGGAAGTAACTTTATTTTTCTTATTCAATTTGAACACTGTAGGTATCTAGTGGGAGTAATTTAGGCTTTTGAATTTTTTTTGTTACGTATTTTGACCCCTGATTCATCCCAATACCTGGTTAGTGCTGTACCTGGTCTTTTGTACATATTATGTAGGTTCCTGAAACTTGTGCTTTGATCTGACTAGGGGGCTGGGTTAGTAGATAGGGTTTACACAAACTATAACAGACTGGAATTTCAGAAGGAATGCCTTTTAGTTCAGTTGAGCAAACTTTCATGTGTTTACTCAAATTACAACAGATTTAATTTTTTTGAAGGAATTGCTTTTATTGTTAATTGAGCATCTGCTAGAGAAAAGGGGTAATATTTCCTACCTTTGGGTTCTCAAAAGTTTTGACGTTGTCTACTGACTGGTGTTAGATGTATCTTTGTCTACATGTTGTGGGGTTGGGAAAAATAAGGCTTTACCTTTAGCTGACATAAATTGCTTATGCGCACATGATGATTTATTGAATTCTTGATCATTTATATTTCTGCAACTGTTTATTTTCTAGGAGCTCAAGAGTGTGATGCAAAATGTTCCAGAGATTGTGGAACTGGTTGGCAGTGCAGCTGCAAGCCAAGTTTTACATATCAATAAGCAGGATGGGGAGGAGAAAGTAAAATCTATTCTGCGTTCAGTTTTCACCCAGCTCATGACAGCTACTAAAGAAATGACAGCAAAAGCAATATCTAACCTGAAGATTCGCCTGCATGAGGAAAGTGAGGTCAGTTGAAGGTTTCTTCTCGGTATTAAATCATCAGAACTTGTTTTATATTTCTTGTGGTAAAAGTGTTTATCATTGCTTCATGTTGTTATTGATTTATGTTCATTTTCTTGTAGATTGATTTGCATTAAGGAAAATTTCCTCTTTTAGTTATTATTTTGATGTTTAAGTAAATTTTAATTAGAATTTGAAGAGAAAAAAGGAACCTTCCCCCTTTTTCTCATTTCTGCTTTTGCAGTTCTTCCTTAGGGGTTGCTCCTGCCAGATTTATGAACCTGTTCCTTTGTTAATTTCTTATCTATATATATGTAAAATCTTGTTTGGTAGTTTTCTTTATTTTCTTTCATGGTCATCTTTTTGAGCTTTGACCATCCATTCATGAAAATTTCTTTTTTTTTTTGGTTTGCATTAGGTGAGACTTCTGACTGAGAAGGAGCAGCTGGTATTGCGGTTGGAGAAGCAATATCCAGGTGATATTGGTGTTATATCAGCCTTCTTTTTTAACTATGTAAAGCTTAAGCCTGGGGAAGCATTGTATCTCGGGGCAAATGAACCCCATGCATATATTTCTGGTGAATGCATTGAGTGCATGGCGACTTCAGACAATGTTGTCCGGGCTGGTCTTACTCCCAAGCATCGAGACGTTCAAACTCTTTGTTCCATGCTCACGTACAAACAGGTAAATAATTACTATGTATATAATTTCAAATTTGTATTCAATCTTCTTTTCGGGTGGAAATTCTAGTTATTGAGAAACTATTTTAGATGAATTTAAGATCACGGGCAACTTTTTGTTGAATATTAAATTGATGAGTGAAGACGGAAAAAATGAAATCATGCACAAGCGAAAACTTATCTGCTGGTGCTAATTCGTTTAATCTATTTCTTTTCCAGGGCTTCCCCGAAATCCTGAAAGGATTTCCTTTGAGTCCCTACATAACAAGATACCTCCCGCCTTTTGATGAATTCGAAGTTGACTGTTGCATTCTACCCCAGGGTGCATCAGCGGTGTTTCCAGAAGTTTCAGGTCCTTCAATTTTTTTGGTGACAGTCGGTGAGGGAACAATGCATACGGCATCACAAATTGATGCAGTGACAGAAGGAGATGTTTTGTTTGCACCTGCAAATACCGAGATAAGCATAACCACTTCATCTGAATTGCAGCTGTACAGGGCTGGGGTGAACAGCAGGTTCCTCCAAACCGTATGAGTGTCATGCCAATTATATATATTCATGTGGTTTATAATTTGAGTCATTTTGTACTATAATGTAATATTAGTCAGTGAGATATAGTTAAAGTTATATGATTAAGATTTGTACCATATTCAAAAGTAAATGCAAGCTGGTTGTCCGATTCTTTTATTTCTTCTCCGATTTCCATCGATTTAGCTGGTTGTCCGATTCTTTTATTTCTTCTCCGATTTCCATCGATTTAGCTGGTTTACTTACTGTTACAAACTGGGCAGACAGAACTTAGTTTTTAATGGAAATCTATACAGAAAAATTGGGGACCTGTATCGGCAAAAGTGATTAGAATTAAAAACTTCGGCGGATATTTGTTGTTGGGAATACCCATCCCATTAACATGATAATCAAAGGTCAAAGCCTCACAAAGCTTTCATAATCTCTCAACTTTAGCTGGTAAGCTATGTACATCAGGTGATAATTTATCTTCAATGGCTTTACTATTTTGTTCAACCAAGTCATTTTCATGGTTAAACCTCCTATGACCAATGGGTAATCATATGGTCAATCTCACATTGCAAATTATATCAAAAAATATGGATATAATTCGCATCTTAAGTGATGTCATTTTCTCTGACATTGCCATTTCATTTCATTTACATCTCAACACCACATACAAGATACAAAAATTTTGGGATGTACTAATAATTAATTTTTTGTTCACACTACAAGGATGGTTTGATCAAATGATAACTGGTATTGCCAACATCAAATCCTAACAAATAACGTGCTGTGAACAGATCCTCAAATAAGGCCCAACCCAGATTCAAGTAATTTATTTGTTTCTTCAATAGAAATATATCAGAAAAATCTGTGAGTTATGATTGGCAGTGCTTTAGAAACCAATTAAAGGAAAAAGTATATTCTGCCAGTTCCTTAACTGCAACAAAAAGGAGAGATGCATGAACATCACAACCATCAGGAATATTGTAACACACTAAACAAATAAATTTCACTTCTACGCAAAGGTATGAGGTTTTTCCAGCTCAACAATTTGCAAGAGAAAGAGATTGAAAATCAAATAAGTTTAATCTGTCCTATTTTGCAAAAGAGAGGCATCATACCAAATTTCAGAGTCAAAATTTGTAGTACCCTATTCAAAGCAATTGTAAAGCTCAATTTAAATAACAACGCAAAACATAAAGCCATTCCCAACTCTTCATGCCTCTGTAATTGGATAATCAAAAACAACATCTTTCCCAGTAAGCTTCCTGTAGACTCCTGAAAATGTCTCCAGCTTGTACTCAGTGTTGTTTCTCTCCTTGGGATCCAAGAAAATCTGATATTTGAGGAAATCACAAATCAAAATCAAATAACGACAACTAAGTGAAAACAACAAATTGCTTTGATGACAGATGCTTTAAACTACCTTGATGATTTTGGAGCCATCGAGACGGTATCTAACACGTTTCCCAACAATCTCAGCTGGATAAACTACATCCTCAAGGACGGCATCATGAACAGCTGTAAGTGTGCGGGAGCGAGGTCGCTGAACAGCAGAGCCTTTCTTTGGTGGCCTTGATATCCTTCGGGTGGCAATCATAACAACATCCTGAAGCACAATCACAGAACTTACGTAAAAGACGTATATAATGATAAAATTACTTTATTCTGGAAACTTTGTTAAACTAGCTTCATCACTTTTCAACATTAGGGAATAAATGGTAATACAAATATAAATACAATGGATTGAATCAACTTGCTTTGACAAAGTTGCCTTTTACATGTTATTTTAGCCAATAAAAAAGAAAATCTCAGGAATTCTTTCAGCATATGAATAGATCTGAGATGAGGACAATACCTTTCCGCTGAATTTCTTCTCCAGCTCTCTAACAAGGCGAAGATGAATCTTGCGGTAAGCCTTCCTCAGTCTATAAGGAACATAAACAACAATGGCTTTGCGATTTCCAGAAACATCCATTTGACTGCAGTCACAGAAGGACTCTTTAGGATGACAAATAATAAAATATCAAAGTATTTAACAGAACATGCATGCAGTAATTTCCCTACATTGCTTGGTTAATGAAAAGATCTTTCAAGTCACTTTTCAACTCCTGGTTGGTATTCTCCAAATCAAACAATGCCTGCAGTTACATCAAACATTAATATTCTGAATCACTGGGGATAAGAACTCAACTTAACTGGGAAGCAATTTAAACCAACCTGTGCAACTGTCTCTTCAAATTCAGTGGGCTCGGCATCCTTGTCTTTTTGGATTTTCCTCTTGGTGGTATACATCTTGACCAATCTGATGAGCAACAACATGGGTTAGATGAAACACATCAACAAGAACAAACCCTTTAAATTCAAAAAGGGCAATAATCATTCATACACATGATACTTTGATTAAAGATGTATCTAGACATTATTTTTATGAGTAGCTCTCCATCTTAAGAAGGCCTAATGTTAGCATGCATCCACTAAAAGCTACACTCTGCCTATACAANTTTAAACTACCTTGATGATTTTGGAGCCATCGAGACGGTATCTAACACGTTTCCCAACAATCTCAGCTGGATAAACTACATCCTCAAGGACAGCATCATGGACAGCTGTGAGTGTGCGGGAGCGAGGTCGCTGAACAGCAGAGCCTTTCTTTGGTGGCCTTGATATCCTTCGGGTGGCAATCATAACAACATCCTGAAGCACAATCACAGAACTTACGTAAAAGAAGTGTATAATGATAAAATTACTTTATTCTGGAAACTTCGTTAAACTAGCTTCATCACTTTTCAACATTAGGGAATAAATGGTAATACAAATATAAATACAATGGATTGAATCAACTTGCTTTGACAAAGTTGCCTTTTACATGTTATTTTAGCCAATAAAAAAGAAAATCTCAGGAATTCTTTCAGCATATGAATAGATCTGAGATGAGGACAATACCTTTCCGCTGAATTTCTTCTCCAGCTCTCTAACAAGGCGAAGATGAATCTTGCGGTAAGCCTTCCTCAGTCTATAAGGAACATAAACAACAATGGCTTTGCGATTTCCAGAAACATCCATTTGACTGCAGTCACAGAAGGACTCTTTAGGATGACAAATAATAAAATATCAAAGTATTTAACAGAACATGCATGCAGTCATTTCCCTACATTGCTTGGTTAATGAAAAGATCTTTCAAGTCACTTTTCAACTCCTGGTTCGTATTCTCCAAATCAAACAATGCCTGCAGTTACATCAAACATTAATATTCTGAATCACTGGGGATACGAACTCAACTTAACTGGGAAGCAATTTAAACCAACCTGTGCAACTGTCTCTTCAAATTCAGTGGGCTCGGCATCCTTGTCTTTTTGGATTTTCCTCTTGGTGGTATACATCTTGACCAATCTGATGAGCAACAACATGGGTTAGATGAAACACATCAACAAGAACAAACCCTTTAAATTCAAAAAGGGCATTAATCATTCATACACATGATACTTTGATTAAAGATGTATCTAGACATTATTTTTATGAGTAGCTCTCCATCTTAAGAAGGCCTAATGTTAGCATGCATCCACTAAAAGCTACACTCTGCCTATACAAATTGTAATGAACCATCGTTGGCAATGAAATGTTCATGAATGATTAATCACCTATTAAGTGATATAAAGTTTAGTAACAAATTCTAATTATAACATTTTGATACAAATTTTAACAACAAACATGTCCACAAACAGAAGAAAAACACCAAGATGTTTCTTATAATATCCTCATTTCTTCAAAATTCAATTAAGCAATAGGACAATGGCCTAATTGTTACGGAATGTTTGTAAAACTCCAATATATGTTTACTAATCACATGCCCCCATTCATACTGGGTACAGCCAAATTACCGTTACCGCGGAAAGATATTCAAAGAAACATTCTGATGAACCCAAAAGTGCAGTCACTTTTTACAAGGTCATAGGTAAAAAAATATTTATGAACTTGGAAATTTCTATTTCAGAAAACATTTTTCTTGGACCAAGAAAGATAATAATCAAGATTAAAATACACATCAAATCTAATTTGTACAACTCAACGATCAGCTATAAAAGTTCTAGCAACATAGACAAAACAGACAATTGCATATGATATCACAACAATCCAGCAAACACTACTGAACATTCACAAAAATAAGAATAGTGCGTTCCCAGAGAAACTTGGTAGAAAATATTACAGCTGGTATCATCATTGGATTCCTAACATAATGAAAATCCATCCCAACACTCTCCAGAGTCATTAAAAATAGAAGAGCCAAAAAAGAACACAGTAATGTTCTCTTAACTTCACACTAGATACTGTGGCCCCAACGGATGATAAATTGACAATGCACATGTAATAGAAGAGAAATATCCAAATAATAAGCGAATGAATGAACTAAACCATCCAATACGCGACTACTAGAACACCGCAACTCATACATTATATACTAAAAAAGAGAGGACACACAAAACTAAAACACAGCTTAGCAGGCATTCGAAAATAAAAATAACAACTTGCTTAAAGAGTAATACGAATCGATATAATTCTCATACAATTTAATTGCACACCACGTAAAAAGACAAGAATTTTAAACGAACCCAGTTCATAATTACGTAAAATAAGACGGCTCATTTGGTTATTCAAGCAATATCACACGCTACTTCCATCAACAATCACAACAATAACAAAAACATACGAAGAAATGTAGGGAAAACAGTTAATGAAAACGCAAAACAGAGAAGACCAATTAGGGTTTAGAGGATTACCTAGCAGTGAAGCGAAGGAGGGTCGTTGGATCTGTACGGATTGGGTAAACCCTAACTGCTGCTGCTGCTTCGTCTGCTTAACAGAGGAAGTAGAATGATGTTGGAAAGGAGGGTTTAATAGGAGGGGAGAAATTGGATTAAAAAGTTGCCCTAGATTTTGACGGCTAATGTTAAATGAGAGAGTGTATGCTAAATGTGGACCGTTGATTTTAACAGAATGTTAAAATACGGCTTGTTTGGTTACGAGAAGAATTTCAAACCGCAATAGTAATAAGGTGGCTCAATGCTTAAAAAGAAAAAAAAAATCAATAATGGTAAATATAAATGTATGTTTTATTTTAGATCACTAAAATTTCTATTAATTTTTTAATTTTCTCTCAAAACTTTGGATCGTGTAAGCAATATTGTGTCAAAAATAAATTATCCTATGTCTAAATAAAATAATCACTTGTCTTTGATAAATATGATTGACTTGTCATTAAGCTTTCCTATATGAGATTGGTTTGAAATCATTTAGAAACCTTTTTTTTTTTTTTTTTTTTTAAATTTCGGAGGTATCGAAGCTAACTTGCTCGCTACTCGACTATTCCTCAAGATCTTGAAATTATTGATCGATATTAACTTAATGACCAGGGGATTGTGAGGACTCAAACTCAAGAGACCATATAAACTTAGATCCTCCTTTGTTCTTTTATCCAATCACCCCTAGTGAGGTTTAGAAACCTTCTTTAAAATGCTTGAAATTTAAATAATCAACTTTTTGTTATAAAAGGCTCAACATGATATGTCTGCTTGGCACTATAAGACCTCACGGTTTTGTTTCTTGGCTTCAAGCCTGAAAGGCTGAAACGCATCATGTTGGGTTAAGGCCACCCTGTATATACATGCAACACGGGAAAGGATTTCACACCACTTTTAATTGATAAAATAATTGTTATTGGACTTGACATTAGTATAATAAAATGGGCTGTGTTAACAATATTGGGCTTGACCGGGCATATCTTTTGCTAAACAGGCCCAATTTGAAGTAATCATGGACAGTTATCATGGGTCAATTGAAGGAACGGCCGGTTATTTTGGGCCCTTTCCACATTCTTATAGGAACATCTGCCTACACAGTAATTTCTTATGTGCTTGGAAATTATTTTCAATTACCACTGCCTAAAGAAGCAAAGTAGATATACTAATTTCTCCATACAGCATTTGGTTCTCTCAAATTCATGTTGCCTTGAAATAGAACTTCTTGAAGAAGCAAAACCTAGATGTGTGCCCTCACTTTAACCAGATTAAGTAATGCCTCAATGGATTTCCTCTACAGAAAACTGGGTGTTATCTGCTTAAACCATCTAACCATGATAGTATAATTGCTGCACCTTTCTCCCATGAACAATCTAACATCATGTCATGGGCAACCCCTTCGACACAGACCGGTGATACACCATAAAACTCCCCTGTTTCGCTGAGTCCTTTCGCATCCTATAATATATTTTAGTCAGTAACTTGACAAATAATATAGAGAAAGAAGGGTAACGATATGTTTACGAAGGAAAGAATTGATTCCTAACTTGGAAGTGAATGAATTATACAATTACCACTATAAAGTCGTCCTTTGCGCCCAAAACAAGAACTTCAATAGAAGATTTTGGCACTGAAGGAACTGGAAGTAATGCATTTAGCTTCCTCAGATCAAACAAAGGCATCCTTGAACTTTCTTTCATCAACTCCTGATAACTGCAAGAAAGCAAGGTCAAAGAAGGGGTGTAAAAGATTTGTCTAAAGAGCAGTAAATACATAATCATCAACGGAAAAAAAGTAAACCAAATCAAAAGAATTTTCTACTTTCGTATTGTCGATTTTGAATTTTCACACAACAAACTTTTCTGTAAGCTCAAAACTAGTACATGCTCACCTTTATATGCCTTTTATATGCAAAACTGTCACAATTTTCAAGTTTAATTGTTAAAAGTTTACCTGGTCTAACCTGTTTTTCTAATGGATGCATATAAGTCTTTTCAGAAACTTTATGCACTTTTATTCTGGATTTATTTTATTGATTATTTCTCCAAGAAAATTCACTTGATCAGATCATCATATGAGTGTGAGACCACAAAACATAATTGCATGAAAATAGAAGGATGCTTATGGAATAAAACAGAAAGGCCCATGAACAAACCGTAGGACAAGATGATCTTCCATTGTTGAAGAGAAAAAAGTTTCCTTACAAAGAGACAAATCTGTCTGAAAAGCTTTAGCTGCCAAGCTACGTGTCACCTGCTCACAAGGGTGAATAAATTCTATTTGAATCAGTATTTCCTATTTATTCCAAAAATGAAGACAAGAATAAAGTTTATATCAATAAAAAAGGGATACCACAGTTTCTTTTTTATTTTACGAAAAAGTAATTTTTTCCTCCAAAGAAGCATAGGGTCCATAGCCAGTTAAAGAAAAGAAAAATATATGAGAACATTTTTCAAGCAACTGGTGAAGCTCCAACATCTATTTATAGTATTGATTCAGTTTTCCTTTGAACATGTTCCAAGATAAATGCAAGAAACGTAAAAAGAAAATCAGATTATTGCTCTTAAAATGTGAAAGCCAATACCTTAAAAGCGGCAATGGGTTTGGTAAACAGATACCGCCACACTAACCCACTGTACAAAAGAAAAAAATCTCAGCCTAGGCCGGTAATCCAGTAAGGAAGAGTACAAACATCAGATAGTATGGGAGTACACCTGTTGCCCGAAGGGGGCACAGAGCAGACAAGCACGGCTCCCCCTAATTCTGGATATGAAGTTTTCATTTCTGGAATCGAGCCCAAGCAGCAAAAAAACAAAGTCAGTGCAAGGAACTTGACTCAAAACCAATATACACTTTAAAATACAGTCATAATGAATAAACTATCTATTCCTAACAGTGATCAACAAGGCTTGAATCAAAAGCAATAAAATTTAAGGGAAAGGAAAGTTCCTTGAGTAAAAGCCTTCGAGGTTGCAAATTTACAAAACTCATGTCTTGAAAACCAAAGTTTATCTCAGGGTGCATGCATTGTGCCATAAGATTCACCTCAATTTGAGATAGTTTCATACATAAACGAGAAAAGGGTTTTTAAAGCGTTAATGAGACATGAAAATCTAGACTGTTAAGAGTTCCCAGCTATACAAATGACAACCACTAATTGCCCTTAAGATGTATTTGTGATGATTATATCTATCTTTAGGCCTTCTTCACTAGAAAAACATCTAATGGACTTCAAGGAATTTAAATCTGTAAGACAGTTCTTGTGCAACACCTGCCTTCCTTCTTTATGTCGAAGTAAGAGGCTACCTATAGATTGTTCAGTTTTTAGCCTTGCAATATAATTCTGAATAATTAGCCCTCCAAATGAATGTCCAAGCAAGACGGGAGGCAAGCTGAGGTTTTCCTCGATGAAGTCAGCCACATCATCTGCATGTGTCTACTGCAGAGTATAGATTAAACAGGAAATTAGAAGAACATTATGTTCTTCATCAAAACCACAGACAATCAACAACAAAGAATGACAATAAAAGGAAAGCATAACTGAAACCAGCTTGTAAAAGGAAGTACTTTCAATTGAAAAACTAAAGTACCTGGAGAGAACCAGCAACAGTACCAGGAGGTGCATCACTTTCACCCTAACATTCAGAGAAGATGAACCAAGTCAACATAAGATTAACAAACAAAATTTTTACAATAATCCAACAGCTGGTATAGTTTAAAGAGAAGTACTATTATGCCTTGATTCCACAATGAACTGAACACCTTAAAAGAAACCCAGGCAACGAGAGAAAGAAAATTTATTTGGCCAAGTCTATTGCCAAAGTGAAAACTTTTAGATTTTAACTCTAAGTTCTATCATATTCCTATACTTTCTGTATATATGCTAAAATGTATTAAATTCAAGAAACAAAATACATTGCAGTAACTAAGCCAAGAACTGTACAAACCACATATATTCCCACAAAAATTCAAACCAATTGAGCTCCAATAAAATGAAAGAATTAAATCACCTAAATCAACAAGACAACAACACCAATTGAACCCATATTTAAAAAAAAAAAAAAAAAAAAAAGAATAATAATTTACCTGACCCAGCAAACTAACAGCATAGCAATCAAACCCAGAAGCAGAGAAGAAAGGAAACCAATGCTCAGCCCAGCACCAAGCTGCATGGTAGCTTCCATGAACAAAAACCAAAGGTGGGTTTGGCTTATCGCTTCTCTCTCTCTTTTGTTCAATCACCTCCATGTTCAGACCAGAAGGCAGCTGGTGGAAACGGCGGTTCTGCCCTTGCTTCAGCTCAAACGGGACTCGCATTTTGTGAGTTTGATTCAGAACAGCAAAGGGTTTTACTGTCGTTTTGGGAAAGGTCAAGTGGCTTCGGAGACCAAGAAGAGTAGCCATTGTTGTGAAGTAACCTTGTCACAGAAGTCTTTGCTTTGGTTTTAAGTTACTTTTTATCTCATTTGGATTTGGACTTTTTTTAATTTTCTTTCTTAAAGTTGTCACAAAATTCTTCTATAATTTTATTAAGAAAAAATTAACACAAAACTACTGCTTATTTTCGAATAAACTTATTTACCAATAATTAGATCTTATCTTACCTAGGAAAAGAATACTGAAAATTATCTTTTATCTAAATTTTTAGACTCTAGGAAAGCAGATAATTAGTATCATATGTGATAGAAAAATTAATGAACAACTTTTATAATAGCAATTAATATTACTCAAAAGGAAAATATATCTCTCTATTTTATCAGTTATCTAAGGACAAATTTCATGTAATTATTAAAATCTAGCAGTGAGAGATATACAGCAGGAATGATAGTAAAAGAGCAAAGAAGGATCTAATAATGGTCTTATAAGTTCGAGTCTATAAGTTTGAGTCTCATCGATGGTAAAAGAGCAAAAAATGATCTAACATATTCTCTTGAGTTCGAGTCCCCACAACCCCTAATAGGGAAAGTCACTGTTACGGCAAAAAATTGTCCTTGGCCCGAATAGGAAAAAGGGCTCGACACTGAAGAAGAAGCCAGGCCCAATCCTGATATGACCCAACTAGATTAGGCCCATTCGGTACAAGATATAGCCAGCCCAAACCACGTGGGCACGAGCCTCCTAATCCCAGTCTATTTCCTAGGTCCATGGGCGAATCCAGAGCCCACAACCCCCTCAAAATACTTTCCTACTCCTGATCAATCTCCCATTCAAGGTCACCTTCCTATTCCTGATCACTTTCCTACTCGGAGTTACTCTCCTAATCAGAATCACCTTCCTATCCAGACACTGGTAAGACAGCTTACCACAGCCCTAATTCTTCTAGGGTTTGCATCAGAGTCATACTAGGACTCCTACTTCTACCAGGATTGGGAGACCAGATGACCACTATATAAACAGAGGCCAGCCCTCTCACAAGGAACATATGACATTACACCTTCACACTGAAAGCTCTGACTTGAGAGCTCCACATCACCGTCGTAGTCACAGTCCCCGACTAGACTTCCGGTAACCTCTACTCCCTAGCCCTCACTATATTAGCTTCTCTCAGCCTTGCTGACTTGAGCGTCGGAGTGCCTATGGCAAACACCACCCCGGTGTTTCCCGTTCGCTTCACGCGTGTGTTTCTCTACGTGTGCAAGTGCAGCGGATCGCTAGTGGCCTGAACCTCACGGGATCAGACCCCCCTTCCGTACAGGTAGATTTTTATGTCTACAGTCACTAGAGTTTTTACTTGACCAATAGTTTCAGGATTCTGGGAGATTAGTTGAAGTGCATATAAACTGACTCGAGCATCCCGCACTTCAACTAATCCCCCTATTAGCACTTGAAGAGAAATTCGAACTCAAGACCTCTTGAGTAATATATCAAAAAATCTTTATCAAATCGCTTAGCCACCCAGAGGTAGTGAAATGTGTATTATAAATTGATGATTATAATTGCATTATTGTTCCCTCTAGTGAGGTTTTTAAAATAGCCCCAAAATATATTTAGGTCAAGGGTTTTAATTGTCTATCCTTTCCATCTAAATTGAATGGTCATTTTCACATCCTTATTACGAGTATTTTACTGATTTTATTGTAGTACATTGCTGTAACGACACATTAACGTGAAATTTGTAAACTAAAAATGTAAAACTTTTAATATATAGTTTTATATGGATGTATTATAATCAAGGCCGTATTTTACATACATAATCGACGTTTAGAAGAAATGAAGAGCTGAAAAATAATATGTACATATTCAAGGGTCAATTAGACCTTTACTAAAATCCAGTGACAGAAAAGCAGGAGAAATTCATCTGTCACAAGTTTAGGCATTCGAGCATGGCCAACAAAATCATAGTCATAGCATTCCCTATTTAAACCATACCTTGTACCCTCATTGATTTTGTATAATAATTTCAGCTTTCATAAAATCTCTTTAAATTTCCATATTTTGGTGTGCCATGAGGCCCATGACTGCCACATCCTTCTGTCCTAACGGTTGGGAGACACAAAATAAGCCCAGGAGACATCTAAATCTTGGCTAAAACAATAACCAATATTGGCTTCCAAAATTCTGAAAAATATGACCACTGTTATTCACTTTGAAATAAAATTTGCTCCTTGTTTCCTTAGCAGGAGTTTTGTGGGGTTCTGAATATGAAGCCACAAACTCATCATCATGGGGAAAGAATGACCAAGAAAGTACTAAAACAAATTTGATCATTACTGTCAAACTCCTAACATCAAACTGCTAGAAAGGAAGTAAGAAGTGTAACTTCAAAACAAAGCTAACGGTCAAACATTTCTAAGAGTTGGAACCTTTACAGGCAATGACGGTGCAACCATGAATTGAAGTCATATGCCGAAGAAGCAATGCATTCGGTCATTATCAAACTGACTATAATCCTTTTCTGTTCATAAAGATCCTATCAGAGCGCCTTCCACTTTTAATATGTCATTAACTAGATCAAAATCATTTTCGACGAGTCCAGAAGAAGTGATGACATTTCCTTCATCGGGTTTGGGTGGAGACTAAAGGTCTTGAGCGACCAATTTAGTAGGACAACTGAAAAGATAAAGAAGTATCTTTAATTTCTTAATGCTCATTTCAAGTTCAAAGTACCATTTACAAATAAGAATCCCTTTTTAACTTATTATAGTGTGGCAAAAAAATAGTTGTAATTTCTTATACTGAAGCATTTCCTGAACTTTTTATCTGAATCCCAGTTATGAATAAGACTAAAGAGGAGTAGCATGTCCATGTTCATTCATTCTAAGGACCTGAAGTGATGTTTCATTATGGAAAAAAGAAGATGAGAAAAGAAAGGTAATGAATGTTTTTTTTTTTTTTTTTTGGGTAAGATTTAGCATTATTTTCCTGAACTTTATCATTATTTTTTATTTCTTTGGAAAAAACAATAATAAAGAAAAGAACTTTATCATATCCTTCTAATATGTCAAGCCAACTAGGAGACTGCATATGTATATCCTCAATGGACCCTACTGGTGGAAATTCAGCTTCAGAAAGTGAAATTGTCATTAGAAACTCCATGTGTTTTCACGTTTTTTGCTTCCTTAGGTGTAAAGGAAACAAAAATGCACTGTTACCCCACATTGTAATGGCCAAGAACTGAAGTGGGAATTGTTGGTAATCATTTATATTGTGCTCTATAAATTGCTCTCTCACTCCCTTCATAACACAACCACCAACGAGGCCTTTAAGAAACTCTACAGTTAACAGTTGATACTTCGATGGCTGATTTTCGACAGCATATGCAGAGTTTCAGGCCTTGTCAACCTTTCTCAGAGATAGATATGAACATGGAAATGTTTAAGCAGTTTGCAGAGCTAAAGCCAAGCATGTTGGACAATTTCAACATTCCAAACTTCTCATTAGAAACTCCTTTGGTCCACCAGCAACTCGAGTTTCCAGCAAACTGTAACCATAACAATCTTTTTACTAATTTTCACACTGCAGAAAGCCTCATTACAATGCCAGTTGTTCAAAACATAACAGCAAATTTAGATGTTTTCCATGAAAACAAGCAAAGAGAAGCGCCAGAACAATCAACTAGTATCTCCAAGAACATTTCTACTTCAGCTTCAACAGCTGGCTTTGAAGGAGACACCAACAGAAAAAGAAAAAATGTGTGTTCAATTGTTTCTTGTACTACTTGTTCTGTTTTGTTTCTTTTTATTCTATTAACATTTGAACTGTCTCGATACAAAAAAATGCTTCATCGGTATTTCGGTATTATCATTCTCAGAGATTAGGAAAAGGGAAGAAAGTCAGCAGCGATGAAAAAGAGGATGAGAAAGCAGAGGAAGTTATTCATGTTAGAGCAAAAAGAGGTCAAGCCACTGATAGTCACAGCATAGCAGAAAGGGTATATATTATATATATTTGCATCAAAATTAATTATGTGGAATGTTTAAGTATCATGACTTGAAGAGCTGAACCATAATAATGTTCTTTTGGGTACCAGGTGAGAAGAGAAAAGATCAACAAGAAAATGAGGTGCTTGCAAGACCTTGTTCCTGGATGTCACAAGGTGGACCAGTTTTTCTATATTCTTTTCAGATGTATTGTTTATAAGATTATATTGTTCATGCATGCATGTTATTATATGTATATAAGTAACCTTATGATTTTTCAATCTGCAGACCATGGGAATGGCAGGGATGTTAGAGGAAATAATAAATTATGTCCATTCATTGCAGAATCAAGTTGAGGTAAGTGATATGCTATATGCATCTTTGTGTTTTCACCTCAATAGTTATTATAAGAACAATTTTGAACTAAATTTCTCTCTTTTTCTTTTTCTTCCCAAATTCAGTTTCTCTCCATGGAGCTTGCTGCTGCTTGTTCTTCTCATGACTTGAACTTTGAAGCTGAATCTAGCAAAAAGGCTCAGGTGATTCTTCAATAACATCTGGAAAATCCATGTTTAAATTACCAGTACCTATAAAAAACAAGTGGTGAATTGCAATTATGTCTGCATGTAAGAAGCAATCTGAATACTGTGTGTATGCAGATATTTTCGCATTCGCGCGCAGAGTTACGTGAAAATAATTGCAACTGTATGCATCAATGCATGTGTATGTGTATGTGTATGTATGTAAAAGAATGATGTTGAATATTTAATGCTTCAGGGAACCAATTCACATGAGTCACAAGAGATGGAGAAATGGGCAAGAGAAGCATATGGAGAGTACACTTGCTTCCACTCAACATGGTCCCTTTGACTCTACTTTTGGCCCATATTCTCCCCATTGCTATACTCAAAGCACATGTATATGCTTCGAATGCCTCTTTGAGGCAAATCAAATCTGTTTCCGATTTCGTTGCAAATGTTCCAAATATATATGCATTGCATCACAAAGGGTTGAGAAGTAAAGTACAAAAGCCTTTATTCCTATTTTTTTGGTCCAGTTTAAGGTCTAATTTCTCCTTAGTATATGACTTCATAATTATCTCTTTGATTTGAAGCATCCTATATGTATTTGATGCTAGCATGTCATCTAGACCCGTTAATCAGAAAATGGCTTTGATGGGACTTGGCTTCATGTATTGCTTGTATTCTCAAATTTTATGATTTGGAATTTTGCATATGGACCACTTATTCATACTGCGCATTTCGTCAAACACTTGCATGTGCTTCATGGTTTTCTTGGTTTTCAAGAGAGAGACGGGAAAGGAGATTTCCCAACTGTTTACAGAATCCAATTATCAATGAATGGATCTGTTCATAATGACATTTTACTAGTCATTTAGCCTTATCATTTACCGCAACAAATATATGCAGACAGACTTAAAATGATCAATCTCAATCAATAGTAATATCCCCTGCAAAATTTATCATTGGAACAAGCAAATCACAGCAATCACAGCTGTCCAAAACCAAAAGGAATCAACCTTATCACCAATTATTTTATCCTTTTGCTCTTGGCTAACTAGCACAAAAGTTGATTAGGAGAACCATCACCTTTCAATCAATTGCTTCAACATAAAGCCTCTATAATGTCTAAGTTTTAGTACCTCTATAATGTCTAAGTTTTAGCAACATCAAGTTTACCAGTAACCTTTCAAACTATCAATGGCTTCCACCAACTGAAAGCCCCGGATTGTATTGAAGAAACAATCAGCTTTAACATACAATTATGCAGAAACGATAAATGCAAACCAACCATAAGAGGATTAGCCATATGGGTTCCACAAACATATAGATAAATAAAATCTCATAGTGTTTGCCAATTCAAATGGTGAATGATTGAAAGTATGCAAATACATAAATATTTCGTGGTGGATTAAATAAAAATATGCAAATTTTCAGATGCATTGCATTTGAAGCTACAGGATTGAGAGGAGGACAACTTGAATGGGCCATATTTGGTTCACTAGAGGATAGAACAGTATGGGTTCTCAAATTTCTAAATGACAAAGAACTATGATAAGGCTTCTACAATCTACTCTCCTTTTCTTTGACTCCTTTTTGACAATACTCTATTGCCTTTTTGTGAGTGCATGCACAAAGAGAAAAATAATTAACCCCTTTGCGGACAACATCTTCATTGATTAACTAAGGTTTGATAGACAAGAATTACCATGAACGCTATCTGGTTTGAGGATTTACAGCCACATGTTTTTAGTCCAAACTCCATTTATGGATCTTCAAATATAAGCCTTTTTTGGTAATTAAGACTAGAAAACTCTTCTATATATTTCTAACCAAACAACTAACAATGTTTTGTAAAGCTCTAATCTCAAAACACCCTACTGTAATTCGCTCTACTTCCATAAGATTTATTTTAAAAAGTCAACAAACAAACTCTAAGTCTTACTATCGCTATAGTTAACACACTTTTATGTTACTGAGTTGTTTTCATTACATAAGCAAATTTGTGGTAGCTAATTCTTTTATGTTACTGAGCTGTTTTCGTTATTCCTTTCATGGACAAATTTGTGGTAGCTAATTTGACTTGACCATAGTACACTGAACGTCATTTCTTACCTATTTTGAGTGGTTTTCTTGTTATATGAAATTGCTAAAAATTAATTAGTTAGCAACACTATCTTTAGGTGATCGAATGGTTCAATGGGGACTCTTGAATGTATTATTTAAGAGGTTTTGAGTTTGAATCCCTCATTGGTTGCAAACAGAGGTGGTCATTGAAGCTTTTACTCGACCAATAATTCCAAGGTTTTAAGAGATTAGTTAAGATATGCGTAAGTTAGTGCAAAAGACCTTTTGTTCTTAAAATTTTATCGATAAAAATATTTCTACTATGAGAATGGACTAGTCACAAAGGAATAGTTCTTTTAGTTTTTTTCTGGTTTCTTTTTTATTACCATGTGACTTGTATATGGTTATGCTAAATTTCTCGTTTAAATAGAAAGAAGAAATCAATGACAGGAATCTATCCTAAATGCCCTCAACATATATAAACTTTAAAAATGTGAAGGAATCATCCAGTCTTGCGTATGGTAAGTAATGGAGTAACCCTTAATTCTTCATTGTATGGATTTGCAACTTTAAAGTGGCCACGAAGATTTTAAACTCTTTACACATTCTTAAATTCATGAAGAATCCCTTTTTATCTTTGGTGCTCCCTCTATGATATTCTTAAATTTATGAATAAATACACTACTTTAACTGGTTGTCTCATTGAAATACATGAGCCAGAAGGAGCAGAACTACTTCTTTTATCTTCCATAACACTTTTAATTAAGTTTAACTGAATTTTAGAAACGTTGTAATCACTCTCTTGAAGGTCTTCTTGCAATTATTCAAGAGTTTATAAGTATTACCAAATGATCTACTTCCCCAAGTTTTTTTAGAAGAAACCGTACCGGGCGTAATTTAAACTAACCGTATGAAAGACTGATTCACAAATATTGACTACATGGTGAGGAAACCCAAGTTTCCAATCGATAATGGGCTATACTATTTCCAAGACTTTTCAAAAGCATGGTTTGACGGGAGCAGCGCCACAAATTAATTTAAAGTGCTGGCATGGCCATGGTTACTAGCTAGTGATTGTTTTGTTTCACTGTCTATCTTTTTTGGGGTGTCCGAGCTACTTTACATACACCACTAATCATATGAAAACCTAGAACTATCGGCAGGGTAAAAGCTCCAATGGTTAACACTATTAGTAATCGAGGAGGAATTCAAACTGAAGACCTCTTGAGTAATACATTCAAGAGTCTTTATCGAACCACCTAACCACCTAAAGGTAGTACACCTTTTTAAATTCTACATACGATGAATGGGAAGCAGAATCACAATATTGAACTGATGATGGAGATGTAGTAACCACAAAGGATGGGTGCTTTGAAATGACAGCCAAAATCTTCGTGAGCCTACATGTGCATTCACACTTACATGTACAATTATCCACCTCCATTTGTCTACATGTTGCTTTGTCTGTCTTATTCAATGCTGGTTTCCTACATTGCATAAATTCTATATAGGGCTGACACCACCTTGGAAATCTTTCAGCCTTCAAAATGCACAGGAAATGCCTCTAATTTTCTGGTCATAAGAATATGGTTTTACTGTTTTCCAAGACCTTGTGGGTTGATATTAAACATGGTGACCCCCTTTTGTCAGATCAATATTTCGTAAATCTCATTTTGCCAATTTGAGAACTGGGCAGGAGTTGTTTCTTTGTAGTTTGAGTGGTTTGAGTAATGAATATGTTGAGGAAAGTTTGTGATAACTGTAATGCTGAACACATGGATTGTCCTGGTAACATTATATGGAAGCTCTTCAAAAATCCAAAATCTAGCAAAGCTTATTTAATATATTGTTGACGATAAAATCTACAGTTGCGGAATGAGGGGTGTGATCTCATGAGGTTGAGGCCACTAGCAATCCGTCACACCTACACACACAAGAAAACAAGCGTGAAGCGAACGAAAAACACCATAGTGGTATTTGCTGTAAGCACTCCAACGCTCAAGTCAACAAGGCTAATTAAATGAGACTAATTTAGCAAGGGTTAAGGAAAGAGAAGGTTGCCAGAAGTTTAGTCGGAGACTAAAACTACAATAGTGATGTAAAACTCTCAAGAGTGAGAACTATTTATTGATTAGGCTCAAGCAGTGAGCAACATGGTAGGCGTAATGAGCGGACCCAATATGCGAACTCCGTTGATTGTAGGAGCTTTGTTACAGTACTGCCCCTGCACCTTGAGGATCAGACAAGAAAAGTGACATAAAAAGAAAGTATTGGTGTGTGAAGAATGAATAGTCATTTTCTATTCACTAAATATGTAAATGATTTAAATTAGAAGTGTTGTTTTCATGAAATGACCTTTCATTTTCTTTTAGTTGTTGCTAACTGGCCATATGAAATGCTTAAGATGAAAGCCTTTCATAAAGCATATGCAGATGATGTACTTTTGAAGATAAAATGCAATGGTACATAATAAAATGTTTATCTCACTCAACCACAAAGGACAAAACAATATGTCAACTACAAGTGTATGTTGTAAATACCAGTTGACAAGGAAGGCCTGCTTGGCCGAGCTAATCAAGAACAACCAGCTCCTACGTTTTTCAATAACGGCCGAATGACATCCTCCCACCTGAAGTTCTCTCTAAGGACATTGCACACCCAAAAAGTTTGAAAACAACAATTACCTACCAATTGTTAAATCTGTCTATTATTTTGGCAAATTCGAGAACAATCAAAGGGTAATTATGTCCTTTTACCCCTATATAAACAAAAAAAAAAAAAAAAAAACCCTAAATTTCATCTTCTTCTTCTTCAACAATCGGCATTGCCATCAGATATTGCCAGGTAGAACTTGAAGTAGGGGTGGGCAAAATTTTAGGGTAGAACCGAAACCGACGGTTATCCAAGTGTCGGTTCCGGTTCCTACCCAGAACCGACCGTAACAGGATAGGTTTTGGTTTCAAAAAATTGGAACCGATACTGTGCGGTTCCGATTTCGATTCCAAATCAAAGGAATCGGGTATCGAGACTAAACTGATATAATGCTAAAGAATAGGGGCTTTTTTGATATTTTGCATATAATCTAAATATATAGGAAAATTTTGGTTTTTTTGATCTTAGTATCAAAAGTCTTATTAATTTTCATTAAAAGATCAGTTTTTCAAAATATTCTTATCAATATTTAAGTTTCACTTATTACTTGATTAAGAAATTAACATACATTAAAACATTTATGTTAAATAATAGCTTTTAAATGTTTATTATCAGTGAAAACAAACAATTAAATATTTATAATCACGCATCAAGTAAATATAAATAAATATATTATTTAATGTTTTGCACTTAATTGTTAGGGGTGTAATTATAATTTTATAAGTGTTTATTTGTCATTTTTTTTAAAATAAGGGGTAATTGATATTTTCTAGGGTACCTGCAACCTATTACAGGTTCCGATTCCAAGTTTTTAGGAATCGAAACCGACGGTTTCGGTTTCGATTCCGATTCCAAATCAAAGGAACCGACTAGTTTTGGTTCCGANAATTAAATATTTATAATCACGCATCAAGTAAATATAAATAAATATATTATTTAAT